GAGTGCCTTAAAGTCCTAGCATCAGCAGGTGCTGATTTGGGATTGGTAAATTCATTTGGTCAATGTGCAACTTCAATTGCAAACTCTCTTCAGTGGACTGAAGTCTTCCATGAAGTAATTTTGGATGTTATCAGAGCCAGAAAGGTTGTTAAATCAAGCAATGCTTCTAGATTTTCTACTTTGTTATTTGTAACTCATGCAAATAATATAAAGGGTTTGAAGAAACTCATTGTAAACAAGAACTTTGATATAGATGAGCAAAACAGCAATGGATTTTCAGCTGCAATGATAGCTGTTGCAGATGGTAGTGTAGAGGCTTTCAAGTTGCTTCTTTATGCTGGTGCTGATGTAGCTAAGCTTAAAAACAAGAATGGTTTGACAGCACTTGATCTCATAGAAGTGAACCCAAATGGGGAAGTGTTTCACAAGGTGATAATTGAATATGCAATGAAAAAGGGACGCAATGGTTCCATTGAGATGAAACCTCTCCACATTGCAGCTCGCTATGGGGACATAGATAGTGCTCATAAACTATTAAATGAAGGGTACGATGTTAATGCTTTGGATGGACATGGATATACCCCATTGATGTTAGCGGCAAGAGGATGCCATGTTGATATGTGTAAGCTTTTGATCTCACATGATGCCAAATGTTATATTGAGAATGAGAAACATGAGACAGCACTTTCACTTGCTAGAGAAAATGGTAGAGGAAATGATGCTGAGCGTGTGATAATGGATGAGCAAGCTCGAAGATTAGTGTTGTATGGGGCTAATGTGATGAAGCATACAAAGTGTGGTAAAGGGTCACCTCATAGCAAGGTACTGGTAATGGTGGAGGATGCTGGAATTCTAAAATGGGGGAAATCAAACAAGAGAAAAGTGGTTTGTAAAGAGGCTGTGGTTGGAGCAAGTAAAAGTTTTCGATGGAACCGCAGAAAAAAGTTTGATGTTGATGACCCAGGAATGTTCCATGTAATAACTACAGAAGGTAAGCAGTTTCATTTTGTATGTGAAGGTGGGATTGAAATGGCTGAGATATGGGTAAGGGGGATTAGATTAGTGACAACAGAAGCTATTTTTGGCAGAAAAAGCTGATAATGTCTGAAGGTGACATGGCTAGAAAAACATGGAGAAAGTTGGAGAAATACAATGCTTGTTTTGTTGTTGATACAGATTCATTTCAGGTGTTTACTTTTCTTTTTTTCCGTATAATTTAAGGATAAAGTATTTCTTCAGAGTTAACTTATCTTCGATAATATTCAAATTATGTGGTTTTGAATGAATTAATGAATGGTGTTTCTGTAATTTTATTTATTTATTTATCATATGAATTTTATCAAAACACGCTTCATTAATTCTTTTAAAATTATGTCTTCGTTGATTCAAAACGACATAATTTTGATGTCAATGAAGAAATACTTTACCCATATTTTTTTTTTCTTTTTGGAAATATTCCATCGATTCACTTCGTGACTAGTCCGATTCGGCACGGATCTAGGATTAAGACTTTAAATTCCTCCTAAAGGTGGTACTGGAAAAGTTCGAACACATGCTCTTACCCCACCTGCTCAGTTTCTATATGTTAACTGAGCTACCACCATTTAGTATAATTTTATGTGTCTATACTAATTGCTAAATAATTATATATAACTCAGGCAACTGGTAGGACTTAAAAATAAAATATGCGATGTACATGTTAAATGTACTGTCTTTATGCCGAAAATAAGATAAAAAAGAAAACAACTGTGCTTATTTTAAATTTTAATTTTGTTAATTTCTTGAATTACGTGTATTAAATTTATATTCTGAGATACAGAAGTTAAAAATAATAATATTATAATACAATCAGCACGAGATTCAAAATGAAAAGAAAAAAATTGGCAAAAAAATTTATTTATTGCAATTTAATTAAATAATTACGCATTTATTATAGTTTGAGGAGTATTTACAGATCTATTGCACTCTGTGACGCTCCATTGAGGCGTCTCACCCTAAGGGAAGACGCCCCAATGGGGCGTCACATGTGACGCTCAAAAGGGGCGTCTCATAGCTTTGAGAAATGCCATTTATTCACCGTCTCACTCGGGTGCCCTACTGCTATAACACATCTTTTGTCGTGTTATTTTGAATTGGCGCTAACATGGCCACGTGGCAGTTGTTTCTTACGTTTTTTTCTTTCTGTTTTGTTTGCCGTCACATCTTAAGCCTTGGGGTCTCTCCTTTGGTCAAACCTGAAGTTCCCACCCCATCTTTTTCACCCAGCATCTCACAAGTTTGCTTCAGTTGCGCTGATATTGCATCCTTTAGACACCGAAAATGACGAGACATTGCTTTCTGAGCTAGCGCAGTGTATGGAACCGTAGCACCGAAACCCATCACCAGATCAAATGAGTTCACCACCATATGCATTTGTTCGCAGTAGTGGCTGTATTTCCTATCCACCTGTAAAACCCCAAGAACCTTCTTGAATGAATCATAATACGGTTATTAATTATTACAATTAAATGTTGAAAGACCCACCTGTAAACACCAAAACCCTCCTATAATGCTCTAGTGTCCCAGTTTCACACTTCCACCAAACATTTTTTATTTTATTTTTTAAAATAAAATAAAAATCTCAAAGTACTATAAAATCTTCCCACTATTACAGCCACTGTCTGTACCTGAAAAAGCATGGGAGGACGTGTCGATCGATTTTATTGGGGGTTTGCCCAAATCTCAAGGGGTTGATACTATTATGGTGGTAGTTGATAGGCTGACCAAATATGCACACTTCTTAACGCTGCACCATCCTTATCATGCTCAAGAAGTAGCGGAGTTGTCTGCAAAGGAGATTGTCTGTCTCCATGGTTTCCCCAAATCTATTATCTCTGATAGAGACCACGTGTTTATGAGCATATTTTGGAAAGAAATTGTTCAAACTTTCAGGTACTAAACTACGTTTCAGCTCCGCTTATCATCCACAAACAGACGGGCAATCGGAAGTGGTTAATAGGACTGTTGAGACATATCTGCGATGTTTTATTAATGGGCATCATAGGGGCTGGGCTAAGTGGGTACCGTGGGCTGAATTTTGGTTCAACATATCTTATAATAGATCAATTGGAATGACATCATTCAAGGCTGTGTATGGCCAGGAACCCCCCTCATTGTTTCGTTTTGAAAAGGGAAGCACTCAAGTGGATGCTTTAAATCAATGGTTGGCTGCCCGTGATGCAGTGATGGATGATATCAGGTAGAATTTGAATCGAGCACAACAACGAATGAAGTTTCAAGCAAAACAAAAACGTAGGGAAGTTCAGTTTGAAGTAGGAGAGAGTGTGTTCTTGAAGATACAGCCCTATAAGATGCGTTCTTTAGCTAAAAGGATTAACTAGAAATTAAGTCCCCGTTTTTATGGGCCTTCTAAGGTCATAGAACGCGTGGGAACAGTGGCTTATCGCTTAGATCTCCCTTCATATTCAAAGGTGCACCCCATATTCCACGTCTCTCAACTTAAATGTGTTGTGCAGCCAGTAGTACCAATATTGGCGTTACCAAGGTGCTTAGATGATACCTTGGAGATGAGGGTCTAACCTATGGCTATTCTTGATTCTAGGAAGTTGATAAGTGGAAAAATTGGGTTGTTGGTGCAATGGGAGGCACGTCCGGACTATGATTGCACATGGGAGGATTTGGAGGAGTTCCAACAACAATTTCCTCTTTTCCACCTTCGGGACAAGCTGATTCTTCCAGAGGGGAGTGTTGATGGGCCCCTGGAACCTTTTAATATATATTATAAGCGCAGGAAGGCCCAACAGGAGGGAGAATCAATGTAGCCCAATCTAATAAGATGAGCCCAAATGAAGGAGGAAGCAGTGAGACGAATGAAGGAAAAAACAAACAACAATCAGTTACAAATGAGGTCACATGGAACGCTGTGAATAGAGAAAGTGAAATAGGCAAGGGAGCTGTGGTGAGTAGGGGTGGTAATAAGGTCAGGGGCCTTAGGCCCGGCCTGCTTCAGCCTGGCCCGGCCCTTCATTTTTATTAATTGGACTCAAACTTGAACTCAATTAATAGCCTTTTTATTTAAAAGGCCTCAAGCTTCCATGTGTGAGCCCGACCTTGGAGCCTCGGAGGCTGGCCCATCATTACATTATTATTATTATTATTATTTTATATTAACCATTTCACCGTGAGTCTGTGACAAGTCGACAAAGTCCATCTACTTCAACCTTCCTCTATGCGCTCTTTCTCTCCTCAACCAAGTTCTCCCAAATCGATCCAGGCGCTCTCTCTCTCCTCAACCAAGTTCTCCCAAATCGATCCAGGTAATCGTCCCCAACAAACGCAGATCTGCAAGGCCACGCCGGAAACTCTTGGTCTCGAAAAACTCCATTGTTGAATCCGAAGATACTGAAAGAAAAGATTGGAGCTTTTTATAAGCAGGTGGACTAGAATGATAAACAGGTTCTACATGTTGATTGTCTTCCACCTCGCCACTACTTATTATTTTAATGAATTTCACTTTGGTATATGCAGTGGAGTTTTGCATCACCGAATTGCTATTTTATTATTTTTTCTTTTTGGTTGAATACGTTGTGGGATCCGTTAATGTAGTAGTCAATTCATACATAGGAAATTAGGAACCATGGAAAAGAGTTGTCTCTATTGGATAAAAAATAATATTCGTGTATCTTTAAATCTGAGTGCGATATTATATTGCATTGTTTATGTGAACTTAAATCCCGATTTCAGGCACAAGTGTTTGTATCAAATTTGGTATCACCCCTATTTATAAAGTGGTTATCTTATATATATGCAGGCTTGCACAGATATATGAATATATCATTTTTCAATGTGAATCCAAGCCACTGTTATAATGTGAATATTTTTTTCTCAATATATCATTTTTCAATGTGAATCCAAGCCACTATTATAATAACATCACGATGAGTATGTTGCAATATTTGTTTAGACCTGAAGAGAAATTTGATATTTTTATTGCTAGGTAAATGGCCTCTAATTCACATGCAGTGAATAATGTTGATGTTCAAGGACAAGAACCACCAACACAAGATGCAGATGCAAGCACCACAAATAAAAGGCAGAAAACATCAAAGGTGTGGGATGATTTTCATGAAGTGGACATCCCCAATGTTGGGCCTAAGGCAGTATGCAACCATTGTAAAGCCAAATTTGCACGTGGTGGGCCAGGAGCAAGCACAAGCCATCTAAAGAGGCATTTAACAAGTTGCTTGAAAAAAAATTGGCCCAATCCGAAAAGAAGAAAAGCACTCAAACTACTCTTTCGTTTCAGCCTTCAGGTTCTACAGTGAAACCTTTCCTTTCACCTACAAGAAAGTGTTCCAATGAAAAATGAGAGAATGTATTGCTACTGCTATTATGGTTCATGAGAATCGTTTTAGCTTTGTCGAGGATACTACCTGGAGGTGAGTGTTTCGGTGTGTAAATCCTGATTTTGAGAAAGTGTCACGTCATACAATAAAAAATGATTGCATTGGATTATATGAGGCTGAAAAATCGCTAAAGGCACAATTGATGAGGGTGAACAAGATTAGCATCACCACTGATATGTGGAAGTCTAACCACCAAATAGCTGAATATATGGTGATTACAGGCCATTTCATTGATTCGGAATGGAAATTACAAAAAGAGTTTTGAATTTTGTGAAAGTGCCACCTCCAAGGCGTGGAGTCGATGTTGCAGATGCAATTCTTAAATGTCTACAATTATGGGGAATCGAAAATAAGGTATTTTCTGTGTCTGTGGACAATGCTGCCTACAATGACGTATGCATAATGTAACACCCCGTATATATCCGATAATGTTATCATACTATCGTATTAAGCTGCGCTTAATTAAAAATGCGGAATATCTTTTTCTTTTCAATTATGATGTCATTATCATTACCAACTTGCTTATTAATCAATTAATAAAACATTGCCTGTATGTAATTGCAATAAAACAGCTAACTGAAATACCTCATAACATAGATAATAAAAGTGTGGCTCTAGTCACGGAACTACAGCAACGTAGACCGGACCGTCTAGCAGTTTATACAACTCCTATCTAAAAGTACTACATAAAGTGTCATGGACAATCCCCATGCTCACTCAAATAAGGCAACACGCCCAACATCAGTCTCAACAACAACAACAACATAAATAGCGGAAAACATAAACAGCATCCAAAACTAGTCATGGCAGCAATACAGCATAATATCAATATCAGCTAAGCTCTGGCCTCTTGCCGCCAGAGGCATCAGTCACCATACTACCTGAACCTGAAATAAGCATTCTCCAAACGTGGGGTGAGATCTCTAAACAAGAAATCTCAGTAAGACAAGGGGTCCTCAAGGATCTTCCACCCCAAGCTCACTTACATGTGCAATCTAAGTTCAAAAGCAGTTTATCATCGTCAGTTCTAAATTAGTGCAATGCAACAGATAATCATGTCATGTGTGTCAATTCTATTCTACTGGCCAGAGAAATGCAGGATTTATATACGCCAAATACCCACATATAGTGCAAGACGCCACTTGCATTCACCCCGGATCACCATATCGTACGACGCCACATACTCAGGCTTACCGTCAAGATGAAACAACACATGCATATTAAAAGCCATTACACATAAAGCTCAACAGCATTTCAAACGTTCAAAGCATGTAACATAGCATGCATATAACCACACCCCCATGGGACATGGTGGAACCACAACATGGCTAAACTGAGGACACGAAAGCTTACCTTGTAAACTAGCTATCCAAAAACCAAGAGTCCACAGCTCAAAGTCCAAACTCAGCAGATTCACAATCTGTTATGGACCAATAACTCATCAACAATAATACTCTACAAGTATATAACTTAAAGACAACGCCTTTTATTACGTTTTACGTCTTAAGGCTTCTCACCAAGCCATAAGCCCTTAATCACTTAGATTCTGACTTAGATAATTAATTACAGAAGTTCAACTTCATCACACTAGGGTCCACAAACCCAAACATCAGTTTTGGATGAACAGTACGCTACTGTTCATCGCAAACCCATAATATCCGGATATTCCTCGGGACCATATCTCGATATGCAATATCCGGATATCTCACTGGACATATTCGGATATGCAATATCCGGATATCCAGAATTCCATATCCGGATATCTAATATCCGGATACCCAAAACTCATATCCGGATATCACATATCCAGATACCATATCCAGATATCCAATATCCGGATATTTCACGGGCACATATCCGGATATTTCACGACAGAATGCAGAAAATGCATTTCGTGAAGATATCCTTCCAAGGTTTCATTTTTAACACTTAATTACGTTAAAGCATGCATCTTTATACTGATTAAGGTCCACACCCCAGTTGGTTACTTGGTTAACTCACTAAACATGCAAAGATCACACCTTTAACCCATTAAAACACAAGCTCAAGGTAGGTACAACTCACCAAAGCTCAAAACAGAGGATCTGGCTCTTGGAGCTCACCACACTGCCTCTACAGGTTCTGGAAATAAGGTGTACGAAAATGCAACACAAAAGGTTGGTCTTTTCTTCACAAAGAAGCTTCTTTAAGCTCCAAAATGCCACCACAAAGGCTCAACACTCTCAACCCCCAAATTCAGCAACCAAGGACCCTCCAAACAGAGGTAAAAACCCAGAATGATGCTCTCAACACACTCACCATAGTGTTTCCCACTCACTCAAGGTGTCTACAAGAAGAAAGTGTGAAGAAAATGGCTTCAAACCTCAAGAAAGGAGAAGAGAAGCCTATGGAACAGTGTTTCAAGGTTCTGGTCAGCCACTCTCACGCACAAAAACTGAGGTCCTAGGGTTATATGCCAATCATAAGGCTATATATAGTGGTTTAACAATTAAACACACAGTATTAAATTTAATTGCTACGCTTAGCATTTTAATCTCAAACTCTGGATTCTTAACCTACTTAATTTTACAAGAATTATCATATTTTTCTTATAATTTTTGGAGCACCTTTTCGATACGCACTTTTCAAAGCCAGTACCGGTTTCTAGCACCAGTTCTCATTATTTGGACTTGAAACTCGTTTTACAAGTCCTACATATTATTCTAGTAATTAGCAAGCACTTATTATAATTTTCCGGAATACTTTTTTGGTACACATTTATACCGACTAGCAGAACCGGTATCTGCATTTTTCTTCCGAAAAGCGACTTTCAGCATTCTTAATCACTTACTATAATTATTAAAGCCTCATAATAATTATTAGGGTCAATTATGGAATCATTTCCTATTTTTACATAATTAATTAATTAAATACCTTAATTAACGGTGCGGGTTCTTACACATAAGAACTATGAAAAGCACTATGTCAATAAATACTAAATTAGTTCTTGGTGGGGAGTTATTTCATGTGCGTTGTTGTGCACATATATTGAATTTGTTAGTGCAACATGGTCTTACTCAGATTAAAGACATCATTAAGAATGTTAGAGAAAGTGTCAAATATGTTAATCATTCTGACTCAAGATTAAAGACTTTCTCTGACATTGTTAAGCAAATGGGTATAAAAGAAAGAAAGCTAGTGATTTATTGTCCCACTAGATGGAATTCTACCTATGAAATGTTGAATATTGCTTCAAGATTTAAAGATGTTTTTCCAGAATACAAGGAAAGAGACCCACACTACAATTGTTTGCCGTCTATTGAAGAGTGGGAAAAGGTTGATAAGGTATGTCATTTATTAAAAAAATTCTCTCATGCTACTAATATCATATTAGGTAGTGATTATCCTACAGCAAGCTTATATCTTCCGGAAGTTTATATGGTCAAAGTAGTGATTAATAAAGCAGCTGAAGATAGTTCTGATTTTATGAGAAGAATGACAAGGTTTATGAAAGAGAAATTTGATAAGTATTGGGGGGAATGCAATTTGTTGATGGTCATTGCTAGTATTTTGGACCCAAGGTGTAAATTAGAAATGGTAAGCCTTTGTTTCCCACTTATTTACAAATCAGATTTTGATGCCAAAGTAAACATAGAAAAGGTGTGTCAAGCTTTAGAAGAAATTTACAATGATTATTTGCAAGAATCTTCCTCTAATATAGATGTCAGAACTAGGGTGGAAGGATCTTTCTCTTCTACTCCCTCAACTAAAGTTTCACAAGATTTTGAATCTGGGTTTGCTCAACTCATGAGCATGATACGTGCAAGGGAATCTGTTCATTCAGTTAAGTCAGAGTTAAAGTGTTACCTTGAAGAGAATGTTTATATAAGTGAGGATAATTCTCATCTTTCATTTGATGCCTTGGAATGGTGGAAGAACAATAGCATGAAGTATAGGATTTTATCAAATATGGCAAAAGATATATTAGCAATACCAGTCTCTACAATCGTATCTGAATCGACATTTAGTGCTGGAAAAAGAGTCATTGATGCTTATCGGGCAAGTTTGGCAGAAAATACAGTTCAAGCATTAATTTGCAGTGCAGATTGGTTACGTAATAAGTATGGCATAAAGAAAAAGCAGAAGGTATTAATTTTCTTAATTTAAATTGTTTTATATCTTATGATATTATAATTGAATGTCAAAAATAATCTGACTTGTTTTTTGTATTTTATGTAGGAGGAGGCAACATCGCAATATATTAAATTGTTGATATGAGTATATTAAATTGTTTAAGCAGAATTTGTAGTTTTTTTGTTCTTTTTGGATTTGCAGAATTTTGTACTATTTTAGTTTATTGGTTAAGTAGACTTTTTGAATGATTCTATTCTATATTATGTTTTTTGGATATACATTGAATTTATGAATCTTTGTGAAATTATTAGTGTTGTTGATTGTATATTTTATTTGGATATACATTGAATTTATGAATTTTTGTGGAATTCTGTTGTCTTTTTTTTTTAACAGGCCATCAAGCTAAGACAGGCTTTTACTTTTTGTAAATAATTCAGGCCACAAGCCGATATTATATTCGTAACAGGTTACAATCTAAGGCCAGTCTGACACATTTAAACACAGGTTTGGCCTATCAAGACCAAAGCCTGGATCGGCTCGACTCGTTAACACCCCTAGTGGTGAGTGATGAACAAAGAGACGGTTAGAGGTGAAGGGAAGCATCATGGAGAGTTGTTAGTAGGGGGCTGCACCTGAACTTGGTGGTTCAGTCTGGAAAGGGCTGGTATCTATCCAAGCGGATGAGTATGGCTAGTGAATCCATGGAGTATGTAAGAGACTTTTAGGAGTCTAGTATTTCTGGGTAATTGGTAGTAAATGTGTCTTTTTCATTGTAAAGGACAGTGTCCTAATGGTCCGATTGTAAAGGATTTGTCCTTGTTATTTCATCAATATTGTAAGGGAATTATTCCCATTTTAAACTCAATATAAGTGATTGTTTCGTGTTGTTCATTTCAATTGTTGTTCTGATATTCGGGTATTTGGGGAATTCTTGTTATTATTCTTTTAAAGAGATAATTGGTGCCATTACAATACAAGTTGTTTCACTAATGTAAACTATTCTATGAAAATTGATAGTCCTTATCGTCACCCTACTATAACAATCCCATTTTACTCTCTTCCTACCATTTTTCCTCTTTGCGATATTGGCTAATAACAAAGCACATATGCTAATTAACATCATAGTCAGTTGATTCAAACCCTCCAAATAAATAATCAATACAACAATGACACTACGCTCCATTCCATTCACCATTGGCACGATCTAACACCAAAAGGACAAAATAAAATTCATAAACTTTCCAAATAGACAGTCACTGCGAAAAGGAAGCAGCCAAGTATGTAATGTAATTACTTTGTTCTTTGAATATTTTAACTTTGTTGCGCTTGTCAGTGGCAGTTTCAATCTCTGCAAGCTACAAAGAAATTGCAAGCATATATTTAGCGTGATGCACATAGATTGCTGAGTGCAAAGGCAAAACAAAAAAGGAAAATGAGAGACACAGGGCAAACAAGAGTTATCAGCATCTAAGTTGAACTTACTGAATTTGTTGGTGATTTGGCAAAGGTTCTATCTAACATCAGTGCTTGGCTACCATCATGATCAAGTAATAAGTGAACAATATTGTTTGCATGCAGCGAATATATTTGCCAAAATATTCTTTTTCTGTATTCAAAGGTTATATCACTTTGGAAATATCATTTCTCCTCCATCATCCACTTTCCATGTTAAAAAAAAATCCTCAAAATATCATATGTACGTGTATAAATTGAGAACTAGCATATGGCAAGTAACAAAGCCTACAGTTGTTGCTGAGAATTAAGTATACTGCAAGGATGGCAGCCACTCTCTTTCGTTTATCGTGATTCTTGTAGGGCTTTCTAATCTTATATGCTTGAAAGCAGTCCCATTTACAAGTAAATTATACTACAACATTATTAGTTCTACCTTCAAAATCATTAAATGCACTTTCATTCCAGTTAACTATTATGTCGTTCTATATAGTCACAAACAAACTAATTCTACAGGATAATTAATATTTAATTACATGCCCAATGACTTTTATTTTGTACAGACAGACAAATCTCACCCACTTTTTCTATGTGTGTGCTTACTGTATCATGTGCACACAAAAAATTTTTTTGACAAAGATTGAAGATACACTGTATTACATACAAAGACACGACCTATGACATTGCTTTGTATTTCTACCTAAGACCAACAAGAAGATCTACTCCTGCTTGTTTATGACCCCCTGACCCATCTATCTTTTGTTTCTAGTTTCACAAACAATTGGAAAACCAAAGGAAACCCCACATTGTTTGTGGAAGAATCATCCCCTTTATAGATCCAACAAAACTCGAAATGAATTTATCAGATTTCTAATGAACTAGTGAAGATTAAAAATTACATAAATCAATAAAAATTCAAAATGAATTGATCAAATTTGTAATGAACTGGAGGAAAATTAAAAAATAAATAAATTATTGAGATATATAAAACCATTAACGTAGTCTTACATAACCGCTTAAGCTTTTGGGTTGAATTGGTTCTTTACATGGTATCAGAGCCTCGTGTCCCGGGTTCGATCCTCGCCGCCCTTCACTTTCTTTCAAGTGGAATTTCTTTGTTCGTACAGGTAGGTGGGCCTGTACATTGTCCACCTTTCAAGTCCAGTGGGCTTTCGTGTGAGGGGACGTGTTGAGATATATAAAACCATTAACATAGCCTCACCTAACAGCTTAAGCTTTTAGGTTGAATTGGTTCTTTAAATAAATAAAATTTCACTGGTCAAGTTTTCGATTGCTCTAAAAAAATGGTACACAAGTGGAATGTAAAAAATCATACAGAAAGTGAACGAAATAGGAGAATATTTAGCATCTCCATCTGCATATGCAACACCAAATGCAAAGATTTCCAAGGCAAAAATCCAACATCCGTAATGAAGAAAGAAAAGGATCCTGAGAGGGAGAGAGAGAGATTAAGAATGCAACAGAAGAAAGAGTTGGTACCTGACACGAAGCAAAAGGGTCTCTTTTGCACAGGTGTGAATCTGGAATATGCTCCTAGACTTGGCGGATTCGTTACTGTGAAGTGAAACTGCAAAGCAGGTTAGGAATAACCACTGTAAGCAGCTTAATAATGGTCAGTGTTGTCTCATGATGTTAGGTAACCCACTTATTGTAATATCATCAGAAATCAAAGCAGCTTATGTGGAGCTTGAGTTGTGACAAAGATCTCCCCAAGTAAGTTATACGGTAAAGGCTACTATACAATTATGTAACATGTAATAGGAAAAGAGTGGTCAGGAACTAGATAAAAATACATTTATTAAAAATAAAGGGTAAAGGTCTGCAAAGTTAAATAATTTTACAAGTTAAAGAAAAAGAAAATAAAATTGTAGATCACTAAAAAGGATAATGCCTTCTCATACAAATATAGTACTATTTAAAATACAATTAAGTAACAAACACATTAAACACTAAATGAAAATATAGCAGATCCATATATAAAAGAAGCACATATTGGGTTTGTTTAAACCACTTTATTGGGTTTGTTTAAGCCACTTCCCATAAAAAAAACCCTCATAAGTAAAACAGAATATATGAAAATAAATCTCAACAACCTCCGATTGATACGCTAACAAGGTCATCCAGGCCACCGCCAAAGGAAAAGGCAATATCTCCATTTAATGCTTCCCCCAAAGCTGACCAGAGGAGATACAGAGCAAAGAATTAATAACTTTCCCATGAGGTTCCAACAAATAGTTTGATGGGCTGATTTGATAAGTGAAATTTTCAACCAAAACATGGTGCTTCTATGTTAAAGCCACAACTGTTACAATTAGACCAAAAAGTCATTATTATGAAAGACCTAGATCTTTTGTTTTTTTTTTCATTTAATTAAATTTCATGAACAATAATAATTTAGATATTCCACATACAACACCTCATGGCCAAGTTTGGTAGCATTGAAATCACTTTTGAATTTGATCCGGATATAATATAGGCCCAACCAAGGCCCAATAACACATGGAAGCCCAAATTCATTAAGGACCCAAAACGAGGCATAAAGGACAGGTACGGACGCGATGACCATATCGCGGCACACCAGCGCGATGACCATATCGCGTCATACAAGGCGCGATGACCTCATCGCGGCACACAAGACGTACTTACTCACCTCGCAACAGGATACCTTCTACAGATAGTAAACTTAAAGGTCAAGGCAACACCACCGCACCCTCACACCAGTAAGCAACGGACAGCTCCTGCTCGCCATAACTCTACTACTAGACACCGTGGCGGCAAGCTCCTCAACATTTAAACCATGACAGCCACACTACGTTGGCACCAAAGAACCTTTGCCTTCACCATGAAGAAAGGCATCCTCCAAGCACACATCTCAACTACTATATAAACACACGATGTATCACCAAGGTACGATCATCCTTTACTTTCACAACATAAACACTTGCCTCTGATACTGACTTAAGCATCGGAGTGTCTTCGCAGGTACCCCCCCTATTTGGTGCAACGAGAAGGACGAAGGACAGAGAGCTCAGGCTCACCCCAACTGCAATACCAAGCCCAGACCTGAAACTACCGAAGGAGTCCAACCGTGTGTGATTTGGGCTTAATACGTATTGGACCATCAATATCGTATTTAGTCTGATCATTGGCGCCGTCTGTGGGAATCTTTTTACCCACCTTTCTCTAAAAACATGGTTGACACTCGTAGCAAATCCCAGAATGGCTCTAAAGGAAAGCGGAAGGAGACCCCTGCTTCCCGTGAAAAATCAGCTTCATTGATGGCTCCAATTCCCATCCACCTAGATGACCCACCGACACCCCAACATCTGTTGGACCTCATCACACTACAGAACAAGAAAATCGCCCAGCAGAATCGAGATTTGGCTCGATTGAAAAAAGCTCAAAAGAGCAAAGAAAAAATCCAAGAAAAGGGAAAACAAAAAGAAAAAAATCCTGAGAAAGAAACAGCTCCCGAAAATTCTGAGGAGAGTGAGCCACCTCATTCGCACTCGACTGGGAATCCAGGACCTTCCGGTCAGAAAAATAAGAAAGGTGAAGAAATCAAAGATACTCATGAGAACGAGAATTCTCATGGTAACTTAAGGACTTTTTCTCGAATTATTCACCCCTTCGTCCCCTGCATAATGAACATCCCAATTCCTCGGGATGTCAAGATTACAACAGAAAAATATAACGGCAAGGGGGACCCTCAAGAGCATCTGGAACAATTCCAGACAAACATGATGGCACAAGATGTCGCGGATCCAATTACTTGCCGACTATTTCCTACAACTCTCAAGGAGACAGCCCTTAGATGGTACTCAGCGCTACCACCTAATTCGGTACCAAGTTGGGAAGACTTAACCAACCAGTTTCTCGTACGGTTCGCAACGAGTAAAGCACAATACAAATCCACTCACGCACTAAAAACGGTTCGACAGGAATTAAATGAAACTCTGCGCAATTATCTAAATAGATTCTTTGATGAAGCGCTTTTGGTCAGAGATTTAGATCCACAAGTCTCACTACACATCATCACTGAAGGACTTGTGGAAGGCCCTTTTTCTATGTCGCTGGCCAAACAGCGACCTCGCACCATAGAGGAATTGCGTGCGCGTTCAGAGAAATTCATCAACCTGGAGGATTATAGGCGATCCCGAGAAATCTCCAACACCAAGGCCAACACGGACAACTTCGAAAGAGATGTGCAGAAGAATTTTCGACGCAAATTTCGCGAAAAGAGAAAGTGGGGAAATACGACAACTACACCCCCTTGAACGCATCTCCCAAGCGAATTTTTAAGGAAGTATTCCAAACAGGGTATGTCCGGGTTAACAGACCTCCTCCAATGCCAAAAGGAGTTCAACGTGATGAATCCAGATTTTGCGAATTCCACAACGACAAAGGTCACACCACCGACGAATGTCTCGCGCTCAAAAATACCATTGAGGCACTCATAAGAGAAGGAAAGCTCCAGGAATTTATTTCCAGCTGCAGTGAATATAAGACGCAGCGAAGGCACGATAGAAGCCTTGATCACAACTCCAATAAACAAAGGGCACGCCCTAGGAAAAATTATAACCCTACTCGCAACAATGACCGAAGAGAGGACAGAGCAGCTTCAACTGACAGACGTCACAGAACTCCACCAAGAAACAGGCGGCAAGTCGCGGGGCAACACCGCGATGGACTACCTAACAGCGCGGCAGGAGTTTTAGCCACTATTTCCGGCGGATCAGCGGGAGGAGGAGCGACCAAATCTAAACGAAAAAAGCATCTGAAATCAGTCATGACGGTGCGCGATCACGCTCGCCCATCCACCTCTCGCGATCAAAGACAGGCCATAAGTTTTGACGATGATGACTATGGCGACATCATACCAGACCATGATGACCCACTAGTGATCTCAGCGTGCATGGCTAACCTCCAGGTAAAACGTATTATGATTGACAATGGTAGCTCAGCTGATATTATATTCTGGGATGCCTTTTGCGCAATGCACATCCAAGAGGAACATCTTCTTCATGGATGTTCGGACTTAATTGGCTTCGCCGGAGAGTGCGTATAGCCCAAAGGCACCATTGAAATGTGGGTCACTTTTGGAAACATGCCTCTTGCTCAAACTATCAAAGTAAAATTTTATGTCATTGAATACGCATCAACATATAACATCATTCTAGGAAGACCAATTATTGCCGCATTAAAGGAAATCATTTTTGTGCCTCATCTTTTAATGAAATTCCGTAACAAGTCTGGCACAGTAGTTGCCATCAGAGGTGATCAAAAAGCAGCGCGCAGCTGTTATAACACCAGTTTAAGAGCCAAAACTCCTGTACAGCCTGATGACAAAGGCAAAGCATCAGTGAACATGACCGATCTTGACATGCGTGAAGATCTGCGCGATACTCGTCCTCAACCGGATGGGGAGTTGGAAGACTTCCAAGTAGGCCCACTCCCTGAAAACACCACCAAAATTGGACAAAACCTCCCAGAAGCTGAGAAAAGCGCGCTGATAACAATATTGCAAAATAACAAAGACCTTTTTGTGTGGACAGCTGCCGACATGCCATGGATAGACCCAGAGATAATATGTCACCATTTAACCCTGGATCCCAAAGCAAAATCCATCGCACAGAAAAAGCGCAAAATCTCCCCAGAGAAACAACAGGCGGTTGAAACTGAAGTAGCAAAATTGCTTGATGCAGGAGTAATCAGAGAAATCACTTACTCTACTTGGCTCTCAAATGTTGTATTAGTCAAGAAACCCAATGGAAAATGGCGCATGTGTACTGATTACACAGATCTCAACAAACATTGCCCAAAAGATTTCTATCCACTTCCCACCATCGACAAGCTGGTCGATAATTCTGCAGAATACCAAATCCTATCCTTTATGGACGCGTATTCAGGCTACAACCAGATTTCAATGTTCACAGCAGATGAGGAAGCCACGGCTTTTATCACTGAAAAAGCTACCTACTGCTATAATATGATGCCATTTGGTCTCAAAAATGTTGGAGCCATCTATCAACGCATGATGAACAAAGTTTTCAGTCAGCAGATTGGACAGATGCTTGAAGTTTACATTGATGATATGATAGTCAAAACAATGACTACGTCACACCATCCTCGAGATTTGGAACGGGTATTTCAACAACTGCGCAAATACAGGCTACGGCTTAATCCAGCCAAATGCGCGTTTGGAGTACCTGCCAAAAAATTCTTAGGATTCATGCTCACACATCGCGGGATAGAGGCCAACCCTGACAAATGCAACGCCATTCTCAGCATGACCAGCCCGCGAAACGTAAAGGAACTACAGCAATTGACAGGAAGAATCACTGCTCTAACCAGATTCCTCCCTGCGTTAGCTCAAAAATCATTGCCAATGTTCAAACTATTACGCAAACAGACAGACTTTAACTGGACTCCGGAGTGCGAGGCAGGGTTCTTGGCCATCAAAGAACATTTGGCCAACCCACCAGTCTTGGTTAAGCCTCCACCCAATGAACCCCTGGTTCTGTACCTCTCAGTTAATAATGAGGCCATAAGTGCGGTCCTCCCGCACGAAGAAGTCCAAGAACAACAGCCCATATACTTCGTCAGCAAAGCACTCCAAGGACCAGAACTGCGCTATCAATAGATTGAAAAGGTCGCTTTCGCGCTGATCTTAACATCACAACGCCTGCGTCATTATTTCCAGGGGCACACTATCAAAGTTAGAACGAATCAACCCCTTCGACAAGTACTTAGACAACCTGATTTAGCAGGCCGTATGATCTCATGGTCAATAGAGTTGTCAGAATACGACATCATCTATGAACCGCGACAGGCAATTAAAGCCCAGGTACTAGAAGACTTCTTGGTTGAAATGACACACTTACATGAGGCAGAGGACAGTGTCGATTGGGTCATTTACGTTGACGGATCTTCCAATATCAAGGGGAGTGGTGCAGGAGTAATAGTGGAAAGCCCTCAAGGTATTACAGTGGAACACTCTATCCATTTTGGATTCAAAGCTTCAAACAACCAAGCTGAGTACGAAGCAGTCCTCGCAGGACTCGCCATGGCCAAAGACTTGGGGGAAACAAACATAACCCTCAAGAGCGATTCACAATTAGTAATTGCTCAAGTTCAAGGAAGCTACCAGGCCAAAGAGGCATTAATGATAAAATATTTGGAAAAAGTAAGATTACTACTCACAGAATTTCAAAGCTTCAAAGTGGAACACATCCCCAGAGAGCAAAATTCACGGGCTGACATTTTATCCAAGTTAGCTAGCACAAAAGGACCAGGAAACAACAGAACGGTGATCCAACAAAGCGTCCCTAATCCTAGCATCATAATGGCTGTAACCAAACGAAATGCTCAACCATCCCCAAGCACGCAATCCATGGTTGAGGATGACACTATGCCGCTGGATGATAAAGAAACTTGGATGACACCAATCTGGAATTATTTATCCAAAGGAGAAGCACCACAAGAAACGCGCGCAGCTAAAAAACTAGCGCGCAAGGCTTCGTTCTACACTATCATCAACAAACAACTTTACAAGAAAGGGTTTTCCTCTCCAATGCTTAAATGTTTAGATCCTCAGCAAGCTCAGTATGTAATATCTGAGGTACACGAGGGAATTGACGGACATCACATGGAAGGGAAATCCTTATCTCGAAAACAGCTTCGCGTAGGCTATTTTTGGCCAACTATGGAAGAGGACTCTAAAAAACAGGTGCGGCAATGTGTCAAATGTCAGGAGCATGCAGACTTAGATCATGCTCCCCCTGAGAAATTATCTTCAATGATGTCCCCATGGCCGCTCTACCAATGGGGCATGGACATATTGGGCTCACTCCCAGTGGCTGTGGGAGGGATGAAATGGTTGCTGGTAGCAATCGACTACTTCTCCAAGTGGATCGAGGCAGAAGCGTTAGCCACAATATCAGCCAACAAGGTTCGCCGATTCTTCTACAGACAAATCATAAGTCAGTTCGGCGTTCCACATACCATTATTGTAATTCTTTGGAAGTAGAATTACAAGGTATTTTAAAAGGATTGGAAATAGCATGGCACCTAGGCTTTCGACGTTGTATAGTTGAAGGAGATTCCATTATGGCTCTTTCTATTCATCAATCTACTTCATGAATCTCAAATAGGAAGTTGGATTAGAGAATTTATGTCATTGAATTGAGAAATTATATGTAATCATCTCAGTAGAGTAGATAACCGATGTGTCATTGGTTGGCAAAAGATGGTCTCAGTAATATGTTAGATTTATGTATTTTATATAACAGATAAGTTATCTACATTTACTTCCAAAATGATGTTTGAGATTGAAAGATTTAAAAATTATAATTATAAAGACTAAAATAACCCTAAAATAAATTAAAATTATAAAAATATCACGATTTCTATCCCAAAATAATGTCATATTAAATTTACTGCATATAACTTATCTGCACTAAGTGTCCTTTAAATAATGCTCATGTAGATATCAGAAATTTTATTTCCGGAACTAGCAGTAATATGAGTGTGTTTGAATGTGTTTTTGTTATTTTGTTTTTAAAACTATTTTATAAAACAACTTTTAAAAGTTGTTTTGTATAAAAAAGATGAAAACAAATCTGTTTGATTATAATTATTAGAATACCATTAATGAAAATTGTTCTCCGTGTTTCTCTCACTTTTAAATGTAAGAGTATGAAAAGAGAACAAAAAACAGGTAAGAGATGTTATGAAAAAAGAACAAAAACAGGTAAGAGATGTTCTCTATATTTTGTTTTAAAAACTAAAATACAAATGTTGTTTTTAAAACAACAAATACAAAAAACTCATGCCAAATAAGTTTTTTAATTTTTTTATTTTTAAAATTAAAAAACTGTTCTGCACAACCAAAATCAAAAAGAGCCATAGTTCCTATTGTGTAATTTTGTTCTTGGGCTTTATGCCCTCTTTAAATAAAAAAAAAAAAAGAAAAAAGATATTTAGTAAAAGAAAACATGCTATATTTACAATTTTGCCACCATTGTCCCTCACCTCTGTTACAATTCTTGTCTTCGGTCTTCTTCCTTTGATCCTCTCTCTCTCTTCTCTTTATTATCCTTTCTCTGTTTGTCTCTCTCTCTCCTTGTCCCATTGACATGTCTTCTGCCGGCGGCGACGGCGGAAGCAGCGGTAGCGGTAGCGGGGAAGGCGGCGTTACCTCCGGCGAACCTCGTCAATACTTTTGCCACCAGTGCGACCGCACCGTCTCCATTTCCCCTTCCTCTTCCGATCTCCTCTGCCCCAATTGCAACGAAGGTTTCCTCGAGGAACTCGAAATCCCACTCACTAACCCTAACCCTAATCCTGTCAATCCCTTCTTCTCCTTCAACTCTGACTCTCCCGCCACTGGCGCCGCCACCTTTCCCCTCCTCTTCTCCGGCGCCGGAACTCCCGGTGCTGGTCAGCCGTTCGACGATCTGTCCACCTTATTCGGCAACCGAGCGTCGCCGCCCCCTCTCGGTGACGCTAACGCGTTCAACCCGTTCATGTTCCTGCAGAACTACGTCCAAACCCTAAGAGCAGGAGGCGCAAACGTCCAATTCGTGATCGAGAACTCCGGCGACCCTAACAGAACGTTCCAGTTTCCCGGAAACGTCAACCACGGCGATTACTTTTTCGGACCCGGCCTGGAGGAGCTGATCCAGCAGCTCGCGGAGAACGATCCGAACCGGCGAGGGACGCCACCGGCTTCAAAGTCTGCGGTGGAAGGTCTACCGGATATACCGGTGACGGAGGAGCTGCTAGCCTCAGATTCAGCATCAGCACAATGCGCGGTGTGCAAGGACACCTTCGGTCTCGGTGAGAATGCGAAACAGATGCCTTGTAAACACATTTACCATGCTGATTGTATATTGCCTTGGTTGGAAATGCACAATTCGTGTCCGGTTTGCCGGTACGAGTTGCCTACTGACGACAACGATTACGAGCAGAGAGCTTCTCGGGGCGGTGCTCCTAATGATAACTCACGGTGGATGAGGTTTAGGGTGCCTTTGACTGGGCAGTTTAATCAATTTGGTTCTTCTGTTGCCGGAACAAGTAATGTTGGGAATGCTGACAACAACAACAACAACAGCAGCAGCAACAACAACAATGATGGAAATAATAGTGGACAATCGAATCTTGAAAGTAGGGGGAATCAGAATCTTGAGTCGGAAACCAGACAAGAAGATCTCGACTGAGGACACTCATGTTTAATATGTAAGTTCGGGACTTCTTACTTTCTTTTTAACTATTGAATTCTGGTTCTATCATATGGTTTAGTTGCAATTTATGGTCTAAGTATTGCATTGTAGTGTTGTCTATTTCAAATGCCATAAGTAACATCATGAAGTATTGTTGAAGTGACAATTCATACCTGAGTTTGGCTCTGGAATATTGTAGTGGTAAACTGTTTTTCTTTTTCTATATTTGAATTCTCCTGGGGTTAATGTAATTGTCCTGTGAGGGTACTTTGTATGGTTTGAACTTCGAAATTTGTTGCATGTAGCCACCGGGTGAGAAGTCAGATATAGGTGCAATTTCCTTTGAGCTTACATTAATGGAATACCTGGGAAATAATTGTAAAGAAAAAACTTCTATATTCGTCTTTGATTGGAGGTGCTCCAATCAATGAAAGAGTAAGGTTTCTTTTTTGTGTTGCTTGGTTGGCGCATAAATTGGGGGCCAGGGGACGGAAGGGGTTTTATGATGTTTGTTCTGTTTGGGTGGATGCAATCACTTTATCGATCAATGTCATCAATTACTGAAGGAAACATTTAGCATGTGCAACCAAAGGATGTGAATTTGGTTTCTCTTGTATCTGACTGGAAAAGCAGAGGACGTGAGTTAAATAGAAAAATAGTGTATGCCACAACTGAAGCTTTATTATCTCTTGAATTGTTTGAAATTGAGGAGTTAGCAGCTATTGCGGTGAACTTGGATGTTTTGGGTTTATATGAGTCTTAACCTGTATATAACTATGCATTCATAAAAATATATAATGGTAAAACAATACTGCCATTGTTCACCGTGAACCATTTGTTGCATGGAGGAAGATCTACCAATCTTATTGTGTGAAATGAAGTGCATGTGATGACGTGGGTATACTTTGTAAAATGATTTACCTTCTTTGTGGTCTATGACTCGATACTGTTTTATAGTAATTTAAGAAGTATTAGATTTTTCTCCGACTATGAATTGTCCTTTTTGAATGCTTGAGGATTATTGTTTAAGCTAGTTAAACAGGCTCTAGGCCCACAACTAAGAAATCTGAGTAATGTAGATTTCATTATTTTCTTCCCACTGATTATTCTGATAAGTGATATTTCTGCCATTTTAAATTTTTAATGTGAAAAATGTTTTTTAGTTTAAATGGAAATACGTCTCAGATGATGCTTGGCATAAATTTTAGGAACCTTTATGTAGTTGCGTTATCAAGACTTTGACAGGTCAAGGAGTTGATTATGCTCACTAAATGAATGATTTAGTCTTTATCCTTTGTTTAAGAAGACTTGTTAAATGGAAGGATAAAGTATGAAATTTAACTATAATTTTCAGATAGGCGGTAACATAGATCAACTAAGTTCTCTTTATGGGAAGGAAAAAGGATTTAATTCAGGAAAAATTATTAGGTCTCGGAAGTTATTTGAGATCAAAATTGATAGGTTAGGTGTGGAAAAGTTGTTTCTTGGCTTTTGAAATAAGCAAAATTTATAAGCATATGGGATCTTCCTTGTTCTTTGGATAGGTCATAGGTTGCTTTTAAAGTATTCCGGTCTTGGATCAAATGGTGTAGAAAACAATTGTTTTAAATAAGCATAGAGGAATTACATAGCAGCTTTGCATATGATACATTATTCATTTTCTTATGGTGAATAGCTTTGAGAACATTTTGTTGATGCTAGGATACAAAGGAAGGACATCAGGGTATTGTAAGCTATATGACGTACAATGAAGGTTTTGGTGAGGAATGTTAGTGGTTAGGGCAGAAGATGAGTTTTAAATCAATTCAGGGTTTGTGACTGCTGAGGAATAATGTTGGATTTTCTTTTTGTTATTTTTGGAAGTTAAATGGCAGGATTAATGTCCGTTTTCCATTGTAGTTTTTCCTAAAGGTTGCTAGTTGGGATGTGATATGTATGGGCTTGTAACTATGTTCAGGAGTACAGGCATAGTTTTGGCTAGAGAAATATATTAAATGACATATTCTTAAGAAAAGAAATACTCTTTTTATGTGCTTTTGCCTAGTGAAATATTAAAATCTGCTAAATCATGAATCTGTTAAACCTTGTAGGCAGACTGCAGTGACAGGTTTCAATCCAACTTGTATACTGCTTGATCTAAGTCAATTATTTAGAATTACAAATAGTTGATAATAAACCTGACTGCTTTCCGTTCCGTATGATTACAATTATTTAGAATAATTTTGATGGGACAAATGAAGTACAGCGGTACGCTACTTATAGCTATGGCTTTCCATAAATTCAAATGGCATTCATGGTCTTTGCTTCGTGTTTCATGTCCCTTTATCATTCAATGCTCTTAATGCATTTATTTATTTGAAATTATTGTCACTGGTTTGTAAATTGAATGTTGACACTGCCCTCATATCAATTATTTGATGATTTACTTATCAAAAAATATTTGTCTTACCCAATATTTTATATTCTTATTTTAATTTTATATCAGATTCATGAAGAATCTGCTGTTAAAATCTGTTGGATGGTTTTTTATTTTTGATTAATGTAAACCATTTTGACTCTGTTAAAAAAAATAAAAATTAGTTAGCATCACTTCTCAAACAATGAGAGAAGACCATAATTTTTTATACTTTGTTATGTTATCTATTTCCGTATCTGCTGATATGATTTGGTGGCCTCCGCTTCAGTAAACCCCTTTCAGAAATAGTAGATACTAGGTACTTACTAAATAATAATATTTTATGCAATTCTTAGCGTTGCAATTGGAGTTTCTAGATGCAGAGTTGTAGAAAACATCTTTTTATTTGACATTTTGAACCGGAGAGATAGAAAATCTGTGAACAATTGTATACTGAAATGGTTAGTTACTAGTGTTCCTTGGTTTTAATCTCAGGGTATTGGGTTAAGGGGAGTGATGGAACTCTAAGTATTCTAAGAATACGTAGTTCTTTGAATCTTAGAGGCAATGTGCTCCGGAAACAGTACTGTATGTCCCCTGTCATTTTTCTTGGGCTGTCTGTAATGTGACATGCACCTCCTAAGTATTTAAACCTTATGAGTAATGGGTGGTGCACCATCTATTATGTATATGTGGTGCATGGAACGATGCAATTTGGGTTGCTGTGTTATTTTTCAAATGATTTGAGGATGTAGGCCTGGCAGCATATAAAGCTGTTCTTAGGGAATTAACAAGCATGCTGCCGTATGTGTTTACAAATTACATTAATGAAGAATCTCTTATACCTTTTCCAGGCTTTGGAAAGCCTACTAAGTAGAATTTTGATTCCATCCTATACCTCCATTAATTTGTTTTCAAGGTCCAGAACTGCTAAAAGACATTTTCGAGAAATCATTGTACAGTTTGATCTTGATGGCATACTTTCCTTTAGTGAATTTGAATTGGATTGGGCAATACCTTTTAATTTGGCAGGTATATCTGATGACCATTGTACAGGATGTTTGAAAATTTTACTTATTTTATCACTTAAGGGTTGTGGCTTCATATGCTTTTGCATTTTTATTTTCAATATGAAGGACCATATAGATTGTGGTTCATCTGTTCATTGCTGATCATTATTGAAAGATACGGGCCTTCCTCTTGTTGAAAAATTTCAATTTTGGAATTTGTTTCTACGAATTATCTTTTAGACTTTTTATGCTCGTTGTTGAACTTTATTGACATCATGCTTGCTTTCTTTATGGCCTGCTCGGTTTCTTCAAAGATTTCAATTGTTGAAATTGTTTTTATGAATTCTCTTTACTCTTTATACTATATTCGGCTTCTGGTGTTTTCTATTTTTATCTCAATTTATTTCAAAATGAACTGACGAAATTACTAATAAAAATAAAATTACGATCCTGGATGAGATGTTGTTACCTCTGTCTCTGACACAAATGTGGTGTGTTTTATTCATGTTAAAATTTTATCTTCACAAGTGCAATGATTTTTTAATCCTCTAGCTAGTAACGTTCATTGTAAAGAAAGTAAAATCTCGTGGTATATTACAATTTTGTTAGATATTCTTGTCTGGGGATTTTTTAATATCAAAGAGGAAGGATTGTTATATTGTTGGTGGAATGAGTCTCTTAAATTGAGTGTTACACTGATACTGCACTTAATAGTGTGTTCTAATGTTCGAGTCTAATATAGAAATCTTGGTCCATGTTTTAAATAAGAAATATATTACTATTTCCCAATGTCCTTTAAGTTTACATCTGCATTATGATATTACTAATCAGATGCCATACAGTTGAGGAGGTTTTTACGTAGTTTTTTTTTTTTTTTTTTTTTTTCTGACAGGTTTGAAGAGTGTTTCAAATCTGCAGCATTTTGTTGAATAGAAATTATATCAAATATCAAGTAGTGGCTAGTGGCGGTTGCAGATGTTATATTTGATTATAATGAACTTAGGTAACTGCCCATCACCATTTTGACGCTTGAGGTTCTTTATAGTTTCATAATTTTATGTGCATTAATAGTTATGTTTTGTGATGTTTTTATTGTCCGTGACACCTTCGCCCTCGTTCATCTCTTGTATAGCGTCGTCTATCTCCTTGTGTTAGCTAATAAACTGTTCTGCTGCATTGGTGGCCAAACTACAATGCGCCCACTGGATCCTATCTCCCAAATCTGAAAAATTGCGATGGAAGATTTTTTATTTTTTTTTACCTTCTACCATGTCTTTTGCTTATGTTCGTAGTTTTAAATTTAATAAAGGGTCTCTTATAATAAATATTTTCTATACAGACATACATATATATAATTGTGTTTTTGAAAGGATTTCTATGGTTATTTTGACAATGATGGGATTTTTTTTTTCTTTTTTTAATGTAAGTGTGATCTTAACAACTTAATCGAATGGCTATGGTAACTTTTAAATTCAACTCTCCATGTATCGTTACAATATTTTCCGTGTTCCTAAGTTCTCCATTAATCTTGTCTCTACACTCACATTAGGGTTGGCAAAAATGAGCCAACCTGTCGGGTTGGCTCGTAACTCGTCAAAAATGAGTCGGGTTGGGTTGGCAAAAATGAACTACGAACTCGACTCGAGCTAGCTCGGGAAAAAATGAGTCAATCCACGGGTCAAACGGGTTAGCTTGCGGGTTGAATTTTTTTTTTAATATAAAAAAATATAAAATATAATATACAAAAATGGACAAAATGCATATATGATGTCTTCATCTTTCTTCTCTAAACCTAAGTTTCTAATTTTCTCACATCCCTGTCATTTTTATATTATTAGGCTGTGCTGGCTCTGTTTGGTTCAAATATCTTACTCATTTTGTAAAAAGTGAAACTAATTGTTTCTTGATGTTGGTGTAAATTTGTTGTGAAGAAAATTCAAAACTATAATATTTTGCTTTTATTTCTCATTTTGTAACCTTTTGTTTAAGTTGATAGAAGCTTCATAGTTGGTGCATTAACTTTACAGGTTCATTTAAATAGGCTGAAAACGAGCCAACTCGCGAGTAATTTTTTAGCCAACCCGCGAGCCAATTATCGAGTCAACTCGTGAGCTATTATTTCAAGTCAATTCACTAGCCATGTTTTTGAGCCAATCCTAACCTGACTCGGGTCGAGTCGGGTTGGATTTTCTGACTCTCTTTTTTTCAAGACAATCTTGACTCGGCTTGTTTTTTTTTTTGAAATGCATGCAGGTTGGGTCGGGTCGAGCCGGGTTGGCCCGTTTTGCCAACCCTAACTCACATGGTTTATAACTTTTGAGCTCTGTAGGGTCAACTTTTCTGTTGTCAAAACAATGACCCGAGATTGTGGGCTTGAAGTCACTGAGCTATGATAACGTTTTCGGATAGGAAGGGCATATGCCTTATGGCCCACTTTCTTTGTTACATGAGAAATTTTCGTAGATAACGGACTCAATCTAGTCATTATTTTTTTTTAAAATGTATTTTGATCAACTAAAATTCAGTAGTTTTCCTTGTTCAAATAAATGGTGGTGGTGAATGTAGTGTGGTCCTGTGCTGAATCTGTTGGTTCAGGACATACTAATATCCTGCTTGGACAGGTTACTCTTACATTGAAATTTGGTGATTTGAGTAATTACTTCAAGGGTTATATTTATCTCATTCAACATGAAAAATGTGGATTTCACCGTTGTTTTTTTTTTTTTTCTCTTCAATTATTTGTGGGTATTTCTTATAATTTTGTTTTACTAATATAAGATAACTATCTCCAACAATAAGAAAAACATTTCCCTTACTTTAAAGCAATTGTGCCATGGTAAGTTTGGCGAGAAAGGAAAACTTGTTCACCTTCAAAGTGGTGGCACGAACTTCGCCATCGCTATAGGAGCTTAGGTTTTGACTCTTCTGATTGAATATTGGCAGCGGCCAATGCTTTGTTGAGAAGTTTCAATTTGTTTCCTAAAGTCGTGGCACTAACTTCGCCATCTATACGGGAGCTTAGGCTATAACTAGTGAATAGAGAATCCTAATCCCGTCATGAGCATGCTTGTAGGGTTATCTGGCAGATACCAATTTAGTATTGAGTCACACTTTTTTCGCAGATGATGTCATGTCTTGGAAGTCATGGAAATTTTGATCAACTTTTGACTTGAGACCAAGTAATACTAAAATAGATGTTGCTAATCTAAAAGTTCCACATCACTTGCATTCGTTTTGTAAAGGATCTATTTTGTAAGAGTTTTTTAACCAAGTTTTTAAGGTTACTGTTAAGAAATTAAAAAATAACAACTAAAAAATAAAGTATGTGATATATTGAAAGCTAATAAGTTTTACTCTTCATTTAATATTTAATAATATTTGTTTCTTAACAAATAGCAGCAAAACTCTTTTAATAATAGGATGCAACATCGCAAATTTATAGTATTATGCTCATGTTATAATCATTTTATTATTGTTATATATTTTCTTTTAAAACCTTTAATTTCTATTTGTTTGCAATGAAAATAATACTAATGTAATGGAATTTTTTTTATTCTGATAAAAGGTTCCAAGATGTTATCTAAGACTGAAGCTATTGGCAGTTGTATTTGCCTATTTACATTCTCTCTAAATTGATGAAGATTTTAATTATCTAAAATATTCTTTATCAATTTTTCTCTTTAATAAGTAAAAAATAAAAAAAAGTTGTTAAGTCTCACCGTAACAAAACGTAGTATTAAAAAAAAGATTAAGAAGAAGAAGAAGTTAGAATCTAACCTGTAATGGCCTCAGCGGCCTGTACCTTTGAAGATTAATTGCGACGTTTACATTTCCTGGTATAAAAAAAAAATTAATTTTATTGTTCAGTTTTCATTTGTCATTTCCCAAATAGAGTTTTTATTACGTTGACTGAATTGCGTAAACTTGCAGATTATAATAAATTATCAATCTTGTATAGCTACCGTATAACAATAAGGAATCTTAAGAATGTGAAGGAATCAATTGACTTGCCTTTTGGCTGCATTCTTAATTATTTGTTAGGCATTAATTTATGACCGCATTTACTCTTTTTTTACTTTTAAGTTATGACAAATTGCCCTCTTAACTAATGAAAGAAGCTCTATAAACTATGAGTTGAAATGTAATTCACACTAACCCACTTTCGTTTATCAGTAATCACCCTTAATAATTACATATTTCTTTCTAAAAAAGTTATTTTAGCATGCCACTCAGGGTATTAACCGGGTTAGGTAGGTGAGTAGAAAATTGGAATTAAACATAATAAGTTTAAACTATGGTAGCTAATAGCACTTAATCATTCAAAATTTCGATAAATCTGTAACGTGTAATCCTTAAAAAAAATGTATGGGATGTACAAAATCGCATAATCATAAATTTGAGCGGGTAAACAAAAAAAGAACAATTAATTAGGCCGGTATTTTTTATTTATTTTTCTTACCTAAAATGTTCAAGCGTGCACGATAAGGTTCTAGTCATTCTATTTCAAAAGATTTTTAAATACCTTGAGAGATACAAAAAAAAGAAGTGAAATATGTATTGTAATACCCCAGAAATAACAAATAAAATAAAATAATAAAATTTTAATAAAATTAATAGTAATAATAAAAATAAAAATAAAAACATATCAAAAGATATTTTCCCACTATTAATTAATTAGAGTAAAGTCCCTTTAAGATCTCTAACAAAAAAATACGGTCTTCACTTTCGTCCCTTACAAAAAAAAAATCCATATTAGTCATTTTTTAGGTACTAAATTGGGTCTTATTAAATTTCTGAGGAATCGCATTTTCAAAGAACTGAAATTGTAGAAGGGACCAAAAATTGACTTTTTTTTTGTAAGGGACGAAAGTGAAGATCGTGTTTTTTGTTCGATATCCAAAAGGGGCTTTATTCTAATTAATTAATAGTGGGAAGATATCTTTTGGTATGGTACCTCCTAAAGTGACAAACACAATTTTTGAGCTTTATCTCTTCGAAATTTATATAATGTGAAAAGATATTATTCGTTCTTCTCAAAGTGGTGTCTGGCAAGTAGGGGTGCTAAACGAACCAGGAGTCTTTGGCTCAACTCGTAAAGGTCTGACTTACATGTCTAAAATTAGTTGTTAGCACTATACTTGAACTTGTATAAAAGCTCATTTAATAAAAAGGCCCCAGACTCCAATTCAAAAGCTCGGCCTTAGAGCCTTTCAGGCTGGCCTAGTATATTATTTTATTTTTTATTTTATATTTTATATTTTTTATACTACTTGCAATAGCTCTCTCTTTCTCCTCAATCAATTTCATCCCATTTTATTGGTTAAACAGACTTTTTGAATGATTTTGTTCTATATTATGTTGTTTGGATATACATTGAATTTATGAATATTTATGAAATTACTAGTGTTGTTGATTGTATATTCTATTTTGATAAATTTTTGTTGTCTTATTTTTTTTAAACAGGCTAACAAGCTAAACCAGACTTTTATTTTTATAAATAAGCCAAGCCATAGGCCGATAATTATATTTATAACAGGTAACAGGCTTGGCCAGGCTAACCCATTTAAACACAGGCTTAGCCTTTTAAAACCAAAGTTCGGCTCGGCTCGGCCCGTTAACACCCCTACTGGCAGGGTTTTCCATATACTAATAGCAACTTGGGGAAGAGGTATGAATACTAGGAAGAGATGTTTTGTTGATGGCCAAATTTGATTATATGTGACTGGCAGGTTTCCCGGGTCACAGGATAGACTGACAGTGTTTCTTGGGTCTATCATAGTTATCTTGCTACTAGTGAACAAAATAAAGATAAATATGATGAATAATGGAATTAATATTTGATTTGATAATTACATGAATATTTGAATTATATTTTGAATTGGGATTACTGGCGTTTGCTCATTATTGTGTTTGTGTGCTGCGATGATCCTTCGTGTAAGCAGAGCTCCTCAATTAAGCAGGTTTCGAAGGTTGGGGCTTGAATGAGCAGCGAGGATAACGTTTCAGACATTTCAAGCTAGACTCAGAATTTAATAAATGCATAAGATATATTTAGATTTTGGATTTATAAATTTTAAAATTTTAAATATTTACATTGAATATATTTTGGTATAAGATTATGTTAAAGTTAGTCTTTCACTTGTCCCTTCTATAGGTGCGACGATAATATTTTCCCAGATTAGCTCCCGCGGTAAATATAAGATCCTAAATAAATAATTAAATATGAATTTTGGCAAATATATTATTACAAAAATATTTGTAAATATTGTTAGAAATTTGGGGGTGTTTCTAACAATTTTTATAAATTTTTTTTTTTGTAATCCTATATTTGTCAAAATTCACATTTAATTATTATTTAGGATCTTACAAAATACTGTGGAAGCTAATCTAAAGCTAATTTGGAGAAATGTTACCGTTGCGTTTGTATAGGGACAAGTGTAAGGTTAACTCTTTCATAATCTTATACCAAAAATATATTCAAGGTAAATATTTAAAGTATAAAAAAATGTAAATCTGGAATCTAAGATTAACTTAAATATGTCTTATACAATTATTACATTCTAGGCATATTCGCGCCTAGCTTGAAGTGTGCAAGACATTATCTCATTGCCAACTGCTAGCCCCAAATCTTCATAACATGTTCACTGATAATTTGCTCTCCCGAAGGATCATTGCATCACAAAGACACAAAAAACAACAATCAACAAACGTTGGTAATCCCAATCCAAAATATAATTAAATATAACTAAAATATTCACATAATAATCAAATCAAATATTAATTCCATTATTCATCATATATATATCTTTATTTAAACATAATAATCAAATCAAATATTAATTTCATTATTTATCATATTTATCTTTATTTAGTTCACTAGGGAGAAAAGAACCTTGGTAGATCCGAAAAATCCTGTTAATCTACCTTTCCAAATTTGACGCGAGTTGTCGAACTCGCGCAAATTAAAAATTATTTTTATTTAGGGTTCAAAAAATTTGTTGTAAAGTGGAAACTCTAAGTCGTCTCTCAAAGAAATTGTTTTGGTAAAAATCGCTTATGAAAACAGAAAAAATGGGGGGTTTTGGATTTCGGTTGAATAATTAAAAGACATAATATAAAAATTGGGATTAAAAATTCATAATTAAAAATTAACCAACCTAAGGTTAGGATTCATTAATTTATTTCAGAGGGTCTGTTTTTTCTTCTTTTTTTTAAATTAGTTTCGTTTTCTCTCAATTCAGTTTGAATATCATGCGATTGTAGGCATTCAAACTGAATAATGCGATTGCATTCTGTAAGGGAGAATTGATCATTAGATTTAATGGTCAGATTAACCAACCCAATGAACATAAGTTGAACAGGTTTAAATTACTGCGATTCCATAGTTTAAATATGCGCACCTCTTCTCAAAGTTGCTACTAGTATCCCGGAAAATCTTGTCAGATACCACTTTGTGAATAACAGATAACATCTTTTCACATCATATAAATATAAAAAACATAAAGCCTAAAGATTGTGTTCATCACTTTAGGAGTTACCATCTCAAAAGCTATCTTTCGACTATTAATTAATTAAAATCACACATAATTTCAAATTCAATCATAAATCACATATTTGAAAAGTTTCCTTAAAGAGTGTCACAATTTCAAATTCAATCATAGAATTTCCTCAAAAGAGTGTCACAATTTCAAATTCAGTCATAAATCACATATTTGGAATGTTTTCATAATCATAATTTTCACAATTATTCGCATGTAATCAATTTTTTTTATCATTTAATCAAATATAGTAAATTATTCATCATCTCTATTTATTCCCAAAATAATAATACTTATTTTTTCAATAAAATTTCCAAAAATACTCTAAATATCACATGTAGTAATTTAAATTTAAAAATTATCTATGATATCCTAAGGACCATGACATAAAATTTTCATACAAAACTAACCAAAGATTACCTAGGGATTAAGATTACCTGATCTTCGTGATTAATGACTTCTTTAATTTAGGAAACACGGTTTGGTAGACAAAAATAATAATTAAAAATAAAAAAAAATAATTAAGAAGAAAGAGAAATGAAAAAATGCTAATAGTTGACACTGATTTGGTTCGGTTAGACTAAGATTCTATTTATAGTTGAAATTTTGGACTCAAGATATGGGCTTTGTAGAATTTATTTCCTTTTCTTCCAGAAATTATTTGTTTTTATTTTTTCTTCTTATGATTATTTTCTTTTTCTTCTTATGATTATTTTGCTATTTCTTGTTTTAGTTTTCTTATGGTTCAAAATATCGCTTACTCTGATTGACTCAAGGCTGATTCATTCTTATTAACTAAGATATTACTGAATTAAGATATACATATTAATATTATTTTATTTTATTAAATTTGTTATTGCTATTAATTTTATTATTATAATTATTATAATTATTTTTTGGTAAAAATTATAATTATTATAATTTATTAATTTGGGGTATTACATGTATCGATGGTGTTTACTCAATCAAATAATGTAATTGTAAGTTAGCTTATAAAAGTGGTTAAACCACATAATAAATTTATGTTAATATTATTGGGATAGAACATGCACAAACACAAAATCACAAATCAAAAAAAAGAAAGAAAAGAAAAGAAAAGTGGAGAAATATATTTATTTTGATTCACCTAATATGAGTTATATCCTGTCATATGTATTAATATTTTTCTCATCGCATTTATTACGACACTTAATTTACTAGAAGAATATAATTAAATTTAGAAACCCTAAGTAATAGCAATTATTTGTGGATCCAAACCTAAACAACTAAAGAAAGAAAAAAATAAAATAAATCAATAACAGGTCTTGTGATCCTCCGTTAACAAGTGACGTCGTCCGAATGTGAAGTATAAATCACATATAACATATATATCTTGATGATTGATTCCGAATGACTTTTTTGTGTTCTTAGCTTATTGATAATGAATAAAACAAAATTGATTATAATAGTCTTTGTAATATGTATTATTTTACATATTAATTATAAAGAAAAAATAAAATTTATTATTTTTGTTATGTGAATAACAAAATTTCTGTGTCGTACATTGAACTATGTTTTACCTAGTACTTATACTATTTAAATAGTTAAATAAAGTATAATTTCTTACTTGAATGAGAGGCGCCAGATAAATAATACAAAGAGATCGCTATCAAAAAAAATAATACAAAGAGATAAAAACGAAATAGTTAATAAGTGTTACAATGATGATGGGTCCCACATGGCTTGGCTGTGTTCTGCTATGTGTCGGTGCATATATCTCACCGCGTTAGCCAATTATAAAAAATTCGGGTATAAATACAACTCGTGCCACTTTATTAGACTTTACAACTTGATAAATACCATTCTTTTCAATAAATTAAATGCATACGAATTACCCAAACGAATAAATTACTCATAAACTAAACTAAGAAATTGATAAAAGAAGTGTTGAACTCTTCACAGTGATTTCCAAATCCAAAAGTGGTTTGAAGAGCTACGCTGACAAGGTACAAGGAATCCTTTCTCACACAGATGTGTTTGCACTATCATTTGACTTTCTTTGTAAACCAGTTTTCTTTATTTATTTCATTTTGTATTAAAATAAGTTAATAAAAGAGAGAGAAGATTTTGTCCACATAAAACCAAGACTCATATTTTAAAGGATTATATTTATCTCGTCTAATATGAAATAACTTATCTTCTTAGACACACAAAGATGAGATTCATATTTATTTTTTTTCTCTCCAATCATTTGTAAATTCTTCTTATAATTTTATTTCACTAACATAAAATAATTTATCTACATCCACGTAAAAAAGATTTCCCTATTTTAAATGCCACTAATTCTTTTAGAGGTTCACACCATAATTGTAATTCTGCTTTACATAAATTTGCTTACACTTTAATTTATCTTCTTTTCATTCACATTAAGTATACTTTCTACAAAATTTGTAAAAAATGATAAATATAATTAAAAGAGTATCATAAATTGGGAAAAGAAAGTAGAATGTCATAAAACTTTCATTAAAAAAAATTAAAAGAATGAGAGAAAAAAAAAGTAAAAAAAAGTTAACTGGTGAGTGTATGAGAGTTGAACAAGTGTGGGTGAAAGTATGTATTTAATCCTCCCATATTATTTTTGGAAAGGATTATTTTTTTGCATATTTATCATGTCTCTGAATTTATTTCCCATTCAATGTATAATGACTTTTTTTAATATTATTTATTTGTCTCTTTCTTATTTTTTCCACATAAAACATTGATTAAAATTTGGTAGAAAATCTCACCAAAAAAAAAAATTGAGAAATTCCATGATACACAGTTCCTTTAAAGAGAGAACAAAAAACCAAACCGCAAGAAAAAAAAAAACCCATTTGCATTTGCATTTGCATTTGGATTTTGGATTGAAGAAGTAGAAGTAGGGGAAAAAGTGGTGTCTAATAAAGTCAAATTCCTGTTGAAGCTCACAAAGAAGAAAGAAGCACCATTTTTTCTTTTCTTCTTCTCTCTGTACCAATAAAACACAGTCAGAACCAATATCTTTCTTCTATAGTTTCAATCTTCAATTTCCTTTCCTTTTCTTCCTCCAAGATCAGATTTTTCTTTGACCCTTTTCCTCATTCTTAACGAATCCCCCCTCCATCCACTTCCCCTTCAAATCAGTTTCATGCTTCTTCACTGTGTCAGATCGTAGATCTTGCTGTCGGTGATTGATCGGAGTAGATGTCGCCGTCAAACGGGTTGCAAAACGGCGGGGGCGGTAATGGGCTGAGTTATATAGAACATCAAGTTTCCAAATTTGACACTCTTGCCGGTGTTGCCATCAAGTATGGTGTTGAGGTACAACTACTGTTTGCTTCTATGCTTGTTTAGGGCATTGTTCTTCTGATTCTGAACTTGAATTGCCTTGACATGGGAAAGTTGTTTACTTTTTTTATTTTTTTGTTTTTTTTTTGTTTTGTTTTTTTAAGGGGTGGGGGTCTACCCCTTTTTCAACATGCAAAATTGGTGTTTAGTTCAAAGGATTATTTATTTAGTTGTATTGTATATGATCAAGATAAAGATTTTGAGTGTTATGTTGGGCTTTCCAAAATTCTCTCTCTCTCTCTCTCTTTTTTCATTTAAGAGCAATTTGATCTGAAAGAAGGCAGTCATATGAGAGTTATTAAACTTTTGATATGGTTCTTGATTATTTGAGACAATTTAATCAATGATTTCTTCTTTGAGTTCCATTCTCAGCTTTTGGGGTAGCCTTGGTGATGAATTGAACGATTGTAGATAGGGGAATGAGAATAGGAATGAAGGGTTTTCAGTTTTTAGTAGTTGTTTTGTGATAGAGAAGTTTGGAAAGTGGGAACAAAGAACTTATCCCCGAATTGATTACTAAAAAGTATTTTTACCTGACTTGATTATTATACATGCACTATATTGGTGTTTTCATACTTCCTTTATTATTGTTGATCCTGAAAATTTTATAGTTTCTTGTAATGCATGCATGAATTATTGCTTTTTGGGCTTTGATAACATGATAGTGTAATCTTCCAATGAAAATTCCTTGTCATTATTCAGGTATCTGACATCAAAAGGATGAACGGGTTAGCCACAGATCTTCAAATGTTTGCACTGAAGACATTGAGAATTCCATTACCAGGACGACATCCACCATCTCCCACTCCCAGTCTGCCTAATGGACCTGCAAAGTTGGGGTACTATTCTCATTTTGTTTTTGTTTTTCCCTAGTCTTTTGTCAAGGAAGCGTTTGCAATGTCGTCTATGATATATCTATCTTATAGTTACTCGACATCTTAATATGCTAATTTGCTAATGTAGCTTGTAGTGTGTCATCAACCCATAGCAACCTACTCCTTTTAGAGTTTGACGTGCAGTTCTTGCTTCTAACTTGAGATTACAAGTGCATAGCTACCAGCTATGTATGCTGCTAGTTTCTATTAACTGCTGCTTACTTTAATATGTTTTCACTTGGATGATTTGTTCTAATATTGTTATTGTGAATTTTGATTGACATGGGGTGTAAGTTTGATATGTTTATTCTAATATTCCCTTTTGATTTTCCTTTTGGTTACTCTTCATATTTAAGAATAGATTACAGAAAAGTTTCCTGCTGAATATTTCAAGTACAATGAATGTAATAGCTCATGAGCGGAGTTCGGATAGCATAGTTTCAATAATGAGTTACTTTGATTTAAGATTCTCTGCTGGATTTTGGAAACTTGTTCTTAACTGAAACTTATCACAGAGATAATAGCAATGAAAGGAGACCCCCACGCATAGGTCAATCTGCCATGAAGGAACCTCTCCAGTCCTTAAGACTGAAAGCGCCCCAAGAGAAGATTTCTCCAGCTATGACCATTTTACAGAAATACTATGGACTCAAATCTTCAAGTTCTAGAGATACATCTGAGGGAACAGAAATGGCAGTTTATAAATCTGCTAGTTCAGATCATTCCAGAGATGAATGGCTTCCCAATACCTCGCCAATTTCAGATACACCATCAAACCATTACCCCAAGTCAACAAATTTAGTGTTTGATCTACTTACTGGGAACGATGATGCGCCTGAGTATGTTCCTCTTGCAGAAATTGAGGGTGGGGGAGCTGAGAAGTCTGACGAGAAATTCGTGCGCAGACGTCAGAAATCTGAAGTTGATAATGGAGCTAGTACACCAGAAAGGATATTGAAAGAAGGAAACAGTAGTGGATCAAATTGTTTTTCTTCAACTGGAAAAGCAATATCCATGAGGCCAAAATCAGCTAGTAGAGCAGTGCTGCTTCCTGAGTCAGAATCAGGATGGTTAGATTCTATTCCAGTGGGGTTGGGAGATTCTATATTAACTGATAGATTTTCTGGGGTGCGCAAATCATCAAGTGCATCAAGCCTCAGAGAGCAGGAAAAGAACAATGCAGTAACAATGTGGACAAGTGGAAGATGGGGTTTGAAGCCAGAAGCATCCATCTCCAAACCTATCTTTGATGGCTTACCTATCCCAATAACTGGCCGCAGGAGCAAAACTGCCCTTGATTAGTGCAAAGTGCAAACTGATTCTATGTGGAGAAAATTATTTTTTGACATCACACAAACTTAAATTGCAACTCTTTTGGGTTAGTAATCCTGATCAAAGATGAGGGGGGGAAAAAAAGAAGAAACAAGGTACACGGTTAGGATATTTATTTCAGACATAGAATAACAAAGGGGTCAATGACCTGCAGCAGTATCAGCTGAGGAAAAGGTGCATGAAAAAGTCTTGCAACTGGTTTGTCAAATGTACCAATAATGTAATTAATGGTGGCCCCAACTGGATTATAAGGATTACTTAGAGATTGATAGCTCCTTTGTTAAATTATTGAGTCAAGTAAGTGAAAGTCATTCTGTTCAATGGTTAATTGTATCATGTCATTCTTATTGGATACATTGTGTATGTATTTATGATTTATTTTTTCTCAGGATCCTTTATACCGCAATACCATTAAATTTGTGCAAACCATGTTACATGGGGCATTCGGTGTTGTATTACAGATTAATTTTTCTACTCTCATTGATACATGATGGTGGATTCTCTCATCCATCCATATAATCAATCCAAGCAATCAAGATGACCATCCGATTTTGATATTCTGATTTTGGGGTTTGCTTATCTATGTCATATTTCTAATAATTGATTTATTGACTTGCATGTTTTCGAATTTAAAATGTATAATAAAAATATTAGAGCTCCATGACATTGTCCATCTAATAATGCCTATAAAGGGGTGGATTTTATATGACCGTAAAACAAGTAAAGCAAGGATTATTTTACGTACGAGAGATTGGTACGAATGCTTGTTTTGTAGGGAAGAAGCAATGCTAAACAATGATGCGTAAGTAACTAATTTTAATGGAGGGATAAACTCACATGGGTGTCCCCCTTTCTATTACAAGTGATGATGACAACGCACATGGCTGAAAAGCATTGTCGACACGATGAAAACGATGGTCACTGTTGAAATTTAAGTGTTATATAACCTTAATTATTAGATAACGATTTACTGGAAGAAATTACAAGGTACATACATGTGGTTTTAATCCAATAGTATTTGCTTTCAATAATTTTAGGATGCTTTTGATTTTGTGTCAAATAAGCCATTGGATTTAAGTTGAGTGGCCTATAACAATTTGGCGTGTTCCGCACCACACGTCACTAATTTCATTGAGATTGAGATGCACTAGAAATACTTGAGTAAGGTAAGAAAACATTAACTTAATAAAGTAATTTCTAGCAGTATCTCTCTCTCTCTCTCTCTCTCTCTCTCTCTCTCTCTCTCTCTCGGAAATCTTTTCTACTTTCCTCCATACTAGAAGCCGAGTCATATCCAATAACCCAATATTTATTTAAAGAGAAATATCAGCCCTTTACGTATGATTCGTGCCATATAAGTGGCACCAAGCCATTAGGTTAAACAGCGCTGTTAAAATAAACTGTAAAATATTTCCAAAAAACATCCACAAAATTACCTTAACTGAATTCTACATATAAATACTTCAAAAAATGGTCCACTATCTATAACATAGCTAACAGATTTTCAGCTCTCAAGTTCACTAGAATGCTATCATTTCCCGCAGAGAAAACAAGTTTTTCTTCTTCTTTTTTTGGGGGGGGTTTGGGGAAGGCGGGGGGATTAAAAGTTAGGCTTACCACCTGTTTTTAGGTGGTTTAACTTTATAAATACGAACTATCCAGTTCTGGGTAGTGAAAGCCTCTTCCAAGTACTCCAACTTGATGTCTTTATTTCCAATTTCAACACCTCTAGCACGATCATACCTGTCATTCCAAGACACGTGATTATAAAAAAAAGTGTACATCACTGCAAACAGGACATGTTAACACGCATAAACACAACATTCACAAATTACTACCCTGCCAATTTCAAAACCTCATTCAGGTTGATTATTGTCTTTGGTCAAAAGCTATGGAACCCCACCGGCACTATAATTCATTTTCAATGCTTTCGAAATAAGGTCAACAATGTTGCAAGAAACACCTTGTTATGAAATTTTAAAAGGTTTAATAAAAGGCTGAAATTTGAATTCCAGAGGTTCTGGGACTAAACATATCTCTATCTAACTGCCTACTACACTGACTATTAGATGGATACCTAAACTTAATATAACATAGCCTTTCTTACCTCATCCTTAGATGAATAAATTGTATCAAATACAAACAATCAGAAACTTGTCTAAATCCAAAAAATTGATACATATTTTGGGTATTTTTCACAAGAAGCACGGTTTCCATATAGCTAGCTAATCAAGAGACATACATAGGTTCTTCATATTCCGTTATTCAATACCACTAATGTACGATTGCACTTCCCACTCTTAATCAAGGATAGGGGTGCATATCTAGACACACTGGCTGCATATTTGCAAGTATATATCAACAACAATTGCTCATTCTAGTCTTATTATGCTTACTGACACACAAGTACATAAATTACATCAGAAAAGTCAAGATTTCATAATGTGCCATTGCTAAAATTATACAACAATAAGGGCCATGTAACTTACCCAGGTGGTTTTCCATATTCTGTTGTCAGCTCCCCAAACCGATAATAAGACAGCTTGTACCTAACAATCATAGACGAAGAAAAATATGATCAAATCAGCATGTATCAATTCATCACGTGCCTTTACATATAATATAAATATCAGCAAATAAGATTATCCTGAATTCCTGAGCATCTTCCCTTTTTATCCCCTTTATCTGTGCTTAAAAAAAATGGCATTCACACGGGAAGCACTAGGTAAACCCAAACACCCTAAACGTAGACTAGGTCAAAGGACTCTTTAGAAATTTCAACGAAGTTAAGCTTCAGCGATCCCAGGGGGTGCATAGTCCAACTTTACTATGCTATTATTCCATAAATTCATCTCATCAATTAGTCTATATTTACTCCAAACCCAAAGACAAACTTGTTTGCATATAGATTTGCTGGGACTTCAACAATAATTTAAAAAGACAAGTCCAACTAGTTGTGCTAAGGAACTTACATAAGACAGTTCAACATTTTGGGAGCAGCACCTTTATCTACACGATACTCTCCATTGACAAGGTAATCAGGTTCCTTTATTACAGGAAAAACTCCACCGCCAATTCTCACCATCCACAGAAATCTACACAAAAATTAAATATGTTTTACAAAAGGGTCGGAAGCATTACAGCAGGGAAGATAAAGCAATACTTATTTAAATGATAGTAATAAACAAATAAAAAATAAGAGAGAAAACAGAAATGCCAATACCCAGGACATTGTCAATAAATGTACGCTTACATATTTATAAATGAAGAAAATTTAGCAACAGAAACATGTAACAACAAACTATCCAAACTCATATCAACCAGTCAATCATTAGAAAACTACAGATATTTTTGCATGTCACAACGACACAAACTATCTATGATACCATAAGAAAGAAATATATTTGACCGAAGCTTTCCTAGTCCTGTTTTCACAGAAATAGCCTGCCAATATCCACCAACTTGATGATGAAAGCCTATAAATTTTTTATGGGAAAAGTGTGTTATTTTAAAGGATGTAAAGTTGTATCATTTTAAGTGAGAGAAAAAAACAGATCATGGGGAAGAGAGAATGGACAAAAAAAAAAAGTGTGGATCCCACCTCTTTATGAGAGTGAAATGACATAACTTGTGTCATTCAAAATGACAAACTCTTTTTCCATTTTTTATTTTCAAAAACTATGAAGGCTAGTATACACAAATAAATGAAAGGGGAAGGTAAGAAATATAATAAATGATGAGGACAGACTAAAAATTAATACACCAACTTTGAAGATGAAAATGACCAATCCCAGAAATAGAGAAAGGGTAATGCTAACTATACAATTCTTGCACTCGCAGGAGCACTGTACAAGTGCCCTAAATTCAGTCGACAACACCTAAAACTTCTATATGCTCAACAACTCAAATGAAACCACCTTTACAACTGTTGTACAAAGCTGTGAATGCAGGGGTTATCCATGTAGCATTTTTCATATAGAAATTGGTACATGCATTAAGTAAAAAATGGAAATAAATGCAAAATACATAACTTCAGATGGCCTTACTTATTAATATCATCAGAAGAATAACCAGTAACACCACCAAACACGACTAATACATAGTCAACATCAAGTGATTTCATTATCTCATATGCCTCATCCTCATAAGATGACATTGCACGCCCAACAGTTGCTATGTGTGTATTGTTCCAGGTGTTATTGTCAACAATAACCGTTCTGTTTCCCATAGCAGTAATTTGATAACCATAATCCCACCACGACATCACCTTGGCATCAGGTGGAGTGTTCTGGCGAAGCCAAAAGTAAGCCTCACGATAATCATCAAAGATGACCCTGTTGCCATGGGCACCCCTTGCAGCTAAGACAATCGAAGGAGATGAATAAGCCTCCGATGTAACCCAAGTACAGTGAATAGCATATCTACTGAGCAGATAGAAAGCACCAAGAAGTAACGCAATAGCACCATTCTTTTGGAAAGGCTGGGAGTTATCAATTACACCCTACATGTAAGAAATCATACACTATTAAATTTGATACACTACCATTTACCACAATAACTGAAATGAATTGTCACACAAATTAAGAGACAAAAACGCCATTCTAATACAATATTTACAATTCAAGCAGACAAAAGATGAACTAATGAAGTTAAAAACTATTGCATAGCAATAAAGAACATGGCAATTGCAATATCTTTTGTCAGCCAGCATTTTCTATTTGGTTAATTATATAATTGAAAAAAAACAAATAACAATCAATTCATCTTTCTCATAATAGCTGAAATGGAGCTCGTGGACGAAATTACACTATTTACTGGATTAGCATAAGATTAAAAAAGGGGGGAGAGAGAGAGAGAGAGAAATTGAACAAAGTAAAATGTAACTCATCTGAGGAAGCCTTTTGCTCTTCAAAAAATCTAACCTTGGAAGAAGCTTTTGCAGCACTACTTCCTTTACCAGAACCACTTTGAAAAGCTTGGCTTTTGGCCCTGACCAACCGAGTCAAGTTCTTCAGAGTGGCCGAAACCGCAATAGCACTGATGAGGCATACAGCAGGGGTAGCAACAAGAATCAATCGAACCATAACACCAGCAAAATACATGCTTGTAAGACCATACATAACTACGAAGATTGTGGCATCAGACAAGCGCTTGAAGCAAAAATAGAGCCCAGCAGGGAAAAGGAACAGCAAGATATGGAAATCAAACATGAAGGATGACCAAGCAGTTGGCTGATGCTCAGAGACAGAAGCAATAATAGGAATGTGATCCTTAGCATATGTTGGATCAAGCAAAGAGTAAAACCTTCCCGTCCATGGAGATATGTAACCAGATGCTGTACCTACTCCCAAAGCAATGGCACCAACACCGACTGCACCAGTTACAGTGATCCTCAAAAATGCTTGAAACAATTTTGTGTCACTAAGCAAATGCCTTACCCAATCCAAGAAGAAAAACACCTGGAATTAAAAAATCAAGTTAGAGCCACAAGAGAACCTGCATGTCAACATCATCAAGCAAATCGACAAATGCAACAATATGGTAGCATCCATGGTAAACAAATAAATTCTCTACCATTTACTAATTAGACAACCAACTACATTTGTTCATGTAACAAAACATCACCTAAGCAAATGCAGGTAAAGGAAGCACTATAACTCAAATTTACCAATTAACTATAAATTTGTAACAAAAGGGCAGCCTAGTTCTATAAATCTCCCGCTCTATACAGGGTTCAAAGAACAGTCCCATTGTGTGGGTCCGTAGTATGATGCCTTGCTTTGCAAGACTCAAACCTGTGACCTCCACATCACATTGCGACGACGCTAACCGTTAAATACTTATACAGTAACAACTAACAAATTTGTTACAAAATTCTCTACCATTAAATAATAATAATAATAAGTCAATTTAATGAGGTGATAGAAGAGTAAAAGGGAAAAAAACGCAAACGAACCTGGAGCAAGAAAAACACGCCCATAGCAGCCATGTGCTCCCCAGACTGCACGTGCTGGAACCCCACAAACCTAATCTGCATCGCAAGCAGCATTCCAAGCACATACATGCAATTGTAAGCAACATAGAGCCTCAACGAGTACCTCCCAGTAATCAACAGAACCAGCACGTAGAGCGGAACCAAATTGATAATAAAAACATAACCACCCCAAGCCGAAACCATGTAAAAGTACCCAAAAGCCGAACCCAAAGACCACGCAAGAGAACCAGTGTTCACCGCCTTGACGAACAAGAAAAATGTTAGCAAGAGAGCAAAAATGGCAACACCCTCATTGTCGTAAGATCCGGCGACGGACCGCGAGATATAGCCGGGGCAAATAGCGATCAATGCGGCGGCGACAATGCCGGCGCCGGAGTCCCAAACCTCCTTGCCGAAGAAATACGCGACGATGGTAGTGTTAGAGGCGAAAAATGGCGCCGTTAGGACGCAAACCTCGCGGATGTGGACGGCGAATCGGAGGAAGCGGAGGAGGTTGTAAAGCGCGGCGGCGGTGACCATGAGTCCGGGGTAGAGCGTGCCGCCGACGATGCGTCCGAGTGGATACCAGCTCTCCGAGTCGAACCAGTTCCAGAACTCGGAGAAGCCATGTTTGGTGAGGTATAGAGTGGTTCGGTAGTTGAAGTAAGGGTCGAACTCGTGGATCATGGACTCGTAGCGGAGGACGCTGAAGAGTCGCGTGATGAAGGCGAGGATGTAGATGAGACCTAGAACGGTGACGCGGATCAGAAGCTCTTGCTGCTTCGTTTTCAGCTTTAGGGTTTTGGGGAGGGTGAAGTTCTGAACCAGATCTTGTGCCGCCATTGTTGGTGATGATGAGGTGCTGACCATGTTGATTGGAGATCTAATGTGTGGGGATTTTCATGGAAAATTGAGGATTTTCTCGGGAAAAATTTTGGGGATTAGTGTGTGAAAATGTGAGTATGGGAGTGTGTGGATCTGATGGGGAAGGAAGAGAAGTGAACAAGAGTCAAAGTCAATAGTTGGAAATGGGAATCCGAGTATTCCAATTCCGGGCAAGGGTTCCAGATAGTGCAGATTCCAAACACCACTTTAAGCCGAGAACCCAAATATACCATTCGATCCAAACACCACTTTAAAGCGAGAACCCAAATATACCCCACATGCTATTCAAACTGAAAGAGGAATCATCGTACAAGTTTAAAATTAGAGAAATTTTTATGTAATCATAAAGTATTAGGGGGAGGATTCTTTCTCAAAATAAAATAAAAAATAAAAATGTTTGATCGTAATAGAGCGTGAGTGTTCACCGCTTAGGTGATAGATATATATATTTAGAGATATTTATGAAAGAGATATTGTATAAGCATATAGTCAATATATTAATCACTGTACACTAATAATAGACATAGTTAAAAACGTGAGATGTGTGCAAAGTGATAGACAAGAGAGTAGAGAACTGAGAGTGTGTAGCTGATAGGCTTTAATCATTTATTTATAGAATGAGTTACTTGTAGGTTTAGACTCTTAGTAAAAACGTGATTCCTTGGGAGAGGATGATTGGATTATCCTCTAATAATGTTATGATAAATCTCAATCTTATATTGGATAGGTTGTTAAGATATGGAATCAGTCCATAACAAAAAAATAAAATAAGAGATAATTAAGATATAAGATTAATAAGTCTTCTATTAATTAAAATTGTTGATTCATTTATATTTAATTATCAAATTAAGTCTTTTTTTAGTGATTGATTTACTTATATTTAAAAGATTGACTAATAAATTAATATTATTAAATGTAAGTGGAATCATAAGTTAGTTCTTCTTCAAAGTATTATATTAATAGTTTTGATTTGATTTATATTTTATTATATAATATTTTATATTAACTTGTTATTTTCTTACTATCTTTAACAGACTGAATTTAAGTTTTATCATGTTTTGGATTTAAATACGTATTTAATTCAACTTATCATATACTTAAATCAGCTTAAAGTTTATTAAGAAAGCTTTTAAAAAAAATTAAAATAATCAAAATCAAACACGTGGATTATGTTGCATTGGACATATTTATAATTCTTCCAGGCTTTTCTTCATATTTGAGCCGGGTCAAACGGACAATAACTTCCTTTCTGATGCTTGGGCCTTTAGATTAAGAATAATGCAATTTGTGCATACTGTATCTGTTGACCAAAACAAAGTACCGTGGTATTCGTGGCGGCTGAGTTTGATAACTTCCCTACAAAGTAAAAGCTCCCAAAATTAAAATGTTCCATGATGTTTACATCAAATAAAGAAAATTTGACATCAAATCCTAACCGTTAATTTTCATCAATCAATGATTATCATTTATTGTAATTAATAATTAATTAATAAGTTTAATTCCCAATAAATAATAATCGTTTATTGGCGAAAATTAACAGTTATGATTTGCTGTCAAATTTCAAAATTTGACACCGGTATCAAAAGATTCTATCCCTTTTATTTATATATATATATATATATATATATATATATAATTTAAGAATTAATATTTGTACTTTTATTTTTTTGGATGAAAAATATTTGTACTTTTAAATAACATAAAATTATGTTATTTTAAGTGAGAGAAAAAAATACATAATGAAAATTATGAAGAGAGAGAGTGAAATATTTTTTTATTTAAAATTTAAATTAAAAAAAATACTAATTTTAATTAAAAAAACCATCATTTAAAAAGACAAATATTTTTCTCTATAATTTATTGTAACGTTTAATTTTTTTCTTTTCTTTTTTTCAACTTTTTGAATACAATTTAAATGATCAGAGTGACTCAAGCTAATGTTAGATGTGATCGTATCTACAGAATAAGTGAACTAGGTTGGACTATACTTTGATTTAAATAAATTTTTTGATCATAATCTGTTAGCTTGATGGAAGTTGAGTTACAAACCTGGCTTAATCTACTTTTTAAAAATAAAAAACCTAACCTAACTTATTAAGGCTATTATCATTTCAATTGTAATCATAACAGCTACACAAACATTCTCAGAACTACAGGAGATATTAAATAACACATGATATAATCATTTTAAATAACACATGATATAATCATTTTAAATAACACATATAGGATTACATGACCGAGCAACCTTGACGACATAATTTGAAGTTGTTCGAACTTCACTGAAGCTCAAAATCAAAAATCGGTGCCACAAAAAATCAAAAACTGAAGCTCAAAAGGACCGCATCAAACTTTCCGGAAATATAAAGCATCTTGAATTACTTTTATTTTAATGTACCTCTCACAGCTTTAAAAAAAACAAAAAGGAAAAAATAACCCATTATTATCAATGGGAATCTAGTGTTTTCAATGTGTTAGACAATCAAAACCGAAATGATTGGATAAAATTAAATCAACACAAACTATTGCACCAAGCCCTTCTGCTTGAAAACATCTAGCATGGCAGCTCCAATTTTAGCAGGAGACTCCACAACTGTGACCCCAGCTTCCCTTAGGGTTTTAATTTTGTCTTGTGCAGTACCCTTGCCACCTGACACAATAGCTGCACAAGGAAATTAAGGACGCGCAGTTAATATCATACAAAAATGAAGCAAAATGAAGATCTAACTACATTATCTGCAGCTGCAAGGCTAAAAGAGGAAATAAAAAATGAAAATCTTCATATAAAACCTGATATTGCTTTATTGTCTTCACTAAATACGCTCAAATATATCATGCAATTCCCCCATGCTAACTTCATCAGTTTCAAAAAGCAAAGATTTTTTTTTTTCCATAGAAGAAATACGAAGACGATTAACTACTCATGTAACCATCCTAGATTATTACACACAGCCAATTTCTTTCCGCAACTGAGGTTGCTTGTGTGGATTCAGCCAATCATGGTATAGATTACGCTTAAAAGTTAAAATGTTTCACGTAACACAACGATGCATCCAATCATATCCAACACTGTTCTTGGAACAACTAGAACAGCGCAAAGAAAGATATAATCAATAAATACTATTGCTTATTGACGAAACTAACAAATGCCACATTATCTAGCAATTGGATCTCCTTTCTTTCAGTTAGAACTAATAAATGGGGATTTTGAATAGAAATTCTGACAGGATTACAATAGAGTGAGAATTACATTCTAATATTTGGATTATGCAAACCAGATATCTAAAATCTGAATGGGACAAGCCAGTTCTACCGGAATTCTGGTGAACAAGATCTTTTCCACCTTGAGTTACACTCCAGAACAATTATCACAGGAATCCAGGCATTTGACTACAGAAAAGTGGGAAAAGTTCCCAATTACTTCACAGAAGACTCTTCCTCACTCACATTCACAACAGAAAGCTAATGGAAATGCTCCGAAACAGGAAAATGGGCAAACCCAAGTGCATAAAGGCTCCTCGACTTTGTGAGGATAGGGGTGAGAATCAACTATATGCAACCTTTTTCCTTGCATTTTTTGCAAAAATATAATTTCCTAGACTCGAGCCTATAACATTCTGGCCACAAAGGAGCAGCCTTATCACTTGCTCCAAGGCTTGCCCCCATCCCAAAAAGAGAAGGAAAAAAAAGAAAAGAAAAGATAACACGTCATTCAAGAGACCTTAAACCTCCCATCCAATCCCGCACTCAATTCTTCCCGGCCTTCCCCTGTCTTCCCCTTCATATATTCTCACTCCTCCAACTACATGCCCCTTACGCTCCCCCTCTTCTGCCACCTTTGCTGTGTTAGTCTGCAGCCCATTACCATGAATAATTTCAGTATACCCCATCCGGTCCTCCTTGCACCAGTGAACTGATCCACAGCTTCCCTTCCTACCTTTCCTCATGTACACCTTAGTAACAGGGGGACTAACACATTATCACTAAAATAAAAGCTGGAATAAACCTAACTGAACTTGTCACAAACCAGTTTTCAGCCAGTTGCAGCAGTTTGATGCATTGCCTCTCAAATAATGAGAAAAGTAGAGAGATTGGGCTCAAACTCACACTCTTGGGAAGTTGGTTAAGCACCCCACCATTATGTCAAGATGGTTTTAATCATCTTACAGAATAACACATAGTAGGCATAGTTCTTAGAATATTGTCAAAAGCATCTTGGTGTTTTTCATACTTATATATGAATGTTCATATTTTTGCTTTTATTTGAATCAAAAATATCTATTTTATTTTTCTTTCCATTAATATTAATTTTCTTTTCAGTGAAATTCGTATTTTCATTACAATGGAAAAGTAATTTGATTGGTATGATCCACAGGTTACTCAAATATGCATTCAAAAATATCAATTTTTTTGAAGAAACCAAATTCCAGATTCGATTCATCAACAACCAACCTCAATTAGTTTGGGATGAAGGTGTTGATGTTAATATTGATGTTAATATATTATTTTTTATGTATTTATTTAATATACAATTCTGTGCCATTTCATGACAAGTATATTCTAGATTATGCTGTGTTGAGTCCATGTCATGTACAGTGTCCTCTGTCATATTTATATACCACATTGCATGCAACTAATGTTGAAGAATTTAACAATGACAATAAATATCAGCAGAAACTTTAACTGGAAATCAAATCCAAACAATAAACAAAATAGGCTCAAGCATGCCATCTAATTCGTCATAATAAACCACACGCTGGAATGATACTTTCTATCAGAAGCCATCAGTTCCAAAAATTCAGAAATAATCTTACCTCCAGCATGACCCATACGACGGCCAGGGGGAGCAGTTAGTCCAGCAATGAATGCAACAACAGGCTTCTCAGTACCACTTTCCTGTATATTTGTTCATAAAAATCAATTTGAGAACTCATGAAGATAGTTTTTCCAAAAGAAAATACAATAACTACGATAATGTCATTGTTTTTCCTTTATAGAATGAAAGATATCTAGCATAAATATCAATAGGTAACGAGTAATGAACATTTAACTTCTTGTCCCCAATAAGAAGATGATTCACATCTACAGATCACATTATGTGGGCCTTTTGCTTGCTGATAACCCACAACAACCTAAGGCAAGACAAGAATTTGAGCCCTTAAAGAGGGCTTTTGAATTATTATTTTTTATATAGAGATTACACATACAATTTATATACTCTAGCTATCCAAGTACAATTAAAGATATCTAAAATACAACCTCCATAATTTTGAAATTAACATTAGATACATCACATGATCATATATATCAAAAATCAGACCTAACTGGCATGTCATCCTGTTGAACAATACACCAGAGTTGAGATCATGGTTTCAAAATGCAACTTACATGTGGGGCGACAGAAACAAAATAACAAAAAGAAAACATGTCTAAATAGTTGGACTAAACAAGAGATCATTTACAATTGATAGCTATTAGTGCACATTTTAGGGAACATATGTAAAACATCATAAATTGAAATTATAAAAAAAAATAAAAAAAATAAGGTGATCCGAATAGAATAATAACACAGCATGTTATACACAAAGCCCTATGTAAATCTCATAGGCCATTTACCCTTGTTTACAATAGGAGGAAAGGAATTATAAGTGTTGAGCTGAATATAGATTGGATATAAATGGGAGTTGCATGTCTATGAAAGGAGGCAAGGAGGTGTGGAAGGTGAGGAAGGAATTGCTCTTAATGGTGAGAATGAGACAGAAATCAAATTGGTTAGATGGAGAGAGATAGGCTTAACCGAAGGGTCAGCTGGCAGATGGAGTGACAGGTACAGCATTATGGCATGATGAGAGAGAGAGAGAGAGACGTGAATGAGGAAGAAGGGGAAGAAGTGATGGAAGATAAGGATTTCAGGCAAAATTAGGTCAGGCCTCGAGGCCTAGGTGTGGTTGGATATTGCAACTTGCAGTATTCTGGTCATTTTTCATTTTCTAGACCATCTTCCTCTACCTTTTTTTTTCCAGTTTTACAGAGAACTCCCTCAGTTGTAAGGAGCTAGACTCTATAGTTTGACAAAAAATATTCAGTTTCTATCACATTCCCTTCCCCGAAATTATAATTATAAAAGGTAAGAAAAATATTAGACTAGTTTAGTGGTGTCACTTCCTAACAAGACAGACAAACTTTTTTTAATTTTCAGATACCGATAACTGAGTAAAAGACAGAAATTTATGTACATGTATCAATTAAAAAGGAACCTTAATTAGTGCGGCAGCATCCTCTTCTGCAGTTCCTCCTATCTCTCCTATAAGAATGATACCTGAATTGCACAAACAAACAGCAACGATAAATGACCCTGTCTCATCAATACTATAAGAACAATTCATTATGCAAAGAATCTACTTGCAGAATAAACCACCCAGGTTCAGTGGATAAAAAGAACACCCAGTATGTACAACAAAAAAAAAAAAAAAAAAACCCAGTAATATACATTGAACAAAACAAAATGACAAAGTACCTTCTGTCTGAGGATCTGCCAAGAACTTCTTAAGGCAATCAACAAAGTTTGTTCCATTGAAGGGATCTCCTCCTATACCCACACAAGTGGATTGTCCCAGGCCAACAGCAGTAGTTTGGAAAACCTAAATAGTTCAAAACAAACACATGGATTATCCATGGGTAACCATCATTACTGTATGCATAATATGAACTTCAAATTTCAAATGGTAAAACTCCCAGCCCCAGGGATAAGCCTGTTACTCAACAACAGAGAAGCATAAGCTGTTTTCATTTTGAAAGATACAATGAAAATTTAAAAAGATGTATGAAAGTTGATTTTTTTTTTTTTTTAAGCGCACAATGTCAGTAAATCATTCCAGAGAAAAAAAAAACCAAGTTGATTATAATGCTTCCACTCTGTTGTGGGAGGAACCAAGACAGATGATAATATAACAAGTGGCACATAAGATTCACATGAATGTGTAACTGCAGTCACAAGTGGAAAAGATGTAAGTAAATCCTCCACTTAAGAAAAGTGGACAGAGCTAACTCCTGTACAATGTGTCAATATTTTCTTTGACATATCCCCAAGACATCATTACCCATGAGGAAGGGGGGAACTCAATTTAAACAGATATATCTCATCACCACTACATATAAGGCAATCTCATACACTACTGCAACAACAAAAACAATCTTGTAGACATCAAAACAAGGACTCACCGCTTCATATGTCAAGGTACCAGAGCGAGAAACAATTCCGATGCGGCCAGGTTTATGAATGTAACCCGGCATGATTCCAATTTTACATTCCCCAGGCTTGATGATACCAGGGCAGTTAGGTCCTATCAGACGAGTTTTGGACTGCCTGTTAAGTGCTGCTTTAACTCGCACCTGACATCGAAAAAATATTAACCTCAGCTACATCCATATCAGCAGCAAAGAGCCAAAGTAAACTACTCAAGCTATGCCGTAACTGTCCAGAGTTATGAATTTCACATAAAGGTATCATAAGACAATTGACATTTGCCCATTTTTCTCCAAAGCAATAAAACAAAATCAAAGGTATGCATTGGCCAACTCATCATAGTATTACGTAAATATACAGACAGACTAATACCAACCCCCCACCCCACAAAAAAGAGAACCAAAAAGCAATTCAAATCATAAAAACGAAAACCTTTAATTGCAATACATGCTCCACACAAATGGTTGGTTATAAGTAAGTAGCGCATAAAGTTGACATGACATATTCAACATCAAGATCACCTATCCCAAACTAGTTTGGGTTGGCAGTCCTTCAATCCATATAAATACGAGAACAAATTAAGGAAAAATAAACTTGTGATCTGATGCTCACGTTCGAGTCTGGAAAACAGCCTCATTCGACCGTCATTCCAACCCTCGCAAGCCGGGAAACCTTGTTTATATACACATAATTAATTAATAAAATCATAAAAAAAATAAAGAAATACATCTCTTCATGTCTCATTTAACATGATCAAATTCTGTGAGACAAATCAAAAAGTTATCTTTCCCTCACTCTCTATGTATCCTGACTCTCTCTCTCTCTCTCTCTCTCTCTCTCTCTCTCTCTCTCTCTCTCTCTCTCTCTCTGTGTGTGTGTGTGTGTGTCTCATCTCTAATTACTGTTAATTTGTCAATGGAGGGCTGAAATCTTCTCACTGATAATGAGACATGAGAGGAATGAGGATCCATTCCGTAGAAAAACTCAACCCTCATGCTAAATAGCCTTACTTCACCCCATCCTAATCACACTATTTCCCACTATAAAGTATTAATTAACAATGCCAAATAAATAAATAAATAAAAATAAAAATAAAATATAGCTATACTGCACCTGACCTAATCACACTATTTCCCACTATAAAGTAATAATTAACAATGCCAAATAAATAAACAAAAATTTAGAGATGCAAATTGAGAAATTCAGTTACCATATCATGTTGGGGAATGCCTTCAGTGATGCAGACAACGAGATCCAGTTCAGCCTCCATGGCTTCGAAGATAGCAGCGGCAGCGAAAGGTGGAGGAACGTAGATGACGGAAGCATTGGCTTTGGTTTCGGCTTTGGCTTCCGCAACGGTGTTGAAGACAGGAAGCCCCAAGTGTTCGGTTCCACCTTTCTTAGGGGTAACACCACCAACCATCTTCGTTCCGTATTCGATTGCTTGTTCCGTGTGGAAGGTGCCGTTCTTCCCCGTGATCCCTTGGCAGATCACGCGCGTGCTCTTGTCAACGAACACCGCCGGCGCCGCTGCCGCACCCGTCAGATGGCGGATGCTGTGGCGGCGCGACGCGATTGAGGCCATCAACTTGGTTACGGCTCGCCCTCCCATTACTCTCTATTCTCAGTTCTCACACCTCAATCGTCAAATGTGAGTGATTTCCACGCTCAACTCAACTATACCCTCCCTCTTTCTTCGACTATTCTTTTTTCAAAATAAAATAAAATAAAATAAAATAATTAATTAATAATCAGTGCAAGTGTTAGGGTAAAATTTTGTAAGAATATCACAAACCGCGTGAATTAATTTGTAGGGTTGGAATTATCAAAAATAAATAAATTTTGTAGGGTTGATTTTAAGGATATAAATGAGTTAGGTTGGCTTCTCTCGCTTAGTCAATATCAGATCATGTTCGGCCTCCTAAATATAGTCAAATAGAATATGCTTAGATTTTTTAAAAAGTCTATTTAGAAAATACGTCACAAGCTTTCTTTTAGATGACGAATTTATAAGCCTACAGACTAGCATATATCATATTATTTATTTAAAAAAATTATTATTTAAGTAATTTTGAATAATAAAGTATTTTAATTATTTTTTTAATTATTGAATATTTAATAGATTTAAACAAGATGGCTTAGGTCAAAAAATTTATTTTTTTAAATTTAAATATAAATAATGTCAGACTTATAATTTGAGCTTATATAAGGCTAATACGTCAAGCTAGGCCTAAAATATTTTACACAGATCTAGGCTATTTTTTTTTTTTTTTGATAAACAGATCTAGGCTATTTAAATCAAAGTCTAACCTACTAACCTATTTACATCCTTAGTTGGTTTAGTAGTTTCTAGTTTTAATATTGATTAATTTGAATATTAAATATATGATTGTGTTAAAAAATTTAGTATGAAAAATTTTATTATTTGATTTGGCCGAATTAATTGATTAAGGGTAAAGAAATCTCTAAAAAAATGTAAAAGAATTTTAAATAAAAATTTATATAATTATTTTAAGGGGAGAGGTTATATTTAAACAAAAAATTAAATTGATTTTAATCTAATAACAATAAAAGTGATTGTAAAAAAAAAATCGTAAATATAACCTCCTCTTATTTTAATTAACTATTTTTAATCTTAAAGAGATACTAAACTTAGCCTAAGAGCACATATCTTTATGATTGAAACATCACGAATACGAATCTAAATAAATGTCTCTTGCAAGGTAGATTTCGTGCACCAGAGTTTATCCTTTATAAACTTTATTTTTTAAGAACATGTTTTACAAAGATAAAGTAAATTTAAAGAAATTATTATAGGAATTTGGATTAAATAAATACACTAGAGCATTATTGTCAAAAATTAGTCTAAAAACGTAAAAACATAGAAACAATAGAAACGTGGTGTAAAAATATAAGTAGAAACGGTCCTATAAAAACAGTAGAAACACAAGTTTTCATGTTTTTTTACTGTTTTTACTTAAACTCAATTTTTTTTTTTAAAAAAAAAAAAAACCTTTTTTCAATTTTTTTAAATTCAATTTTCTCTTTTAATATTTTTGGACTTATATATTATATAATTATGTGATTTATATCTTTTAAATATGAAGTTATTTATTAAATTTTGAGTAATAATTTATGTGAATTTTTTTTACATGCACATATATATAAACTTTGTATCTTGACATGTAAAATTTGTACGTTTCATCTCGTTTTTACCATTTAAGTTTCCACCAACCCCTTCCGTTTATATAGAAACTCAATTTTGACAAGAGTATCCACCTTCACATAAGAATCTTTTTTCGTGTGAACAAAAACAAACGATTTTGTGCACATGCCAAAAACTTCTAAGACTCACCACATTAGTTGTAGAAGTGATTTGAGAATGCAAGATTCTCATTAATATTATTACTAGATGTCTAAAACACAGGGTAGCAAAAGTACAACTGACATGGAAGAAAGATAGATTCTAAACTCTAAAAAAAAAAAATTGCTTTTCACATTACTTCTGTTGGCAGAAAATTGAATGAGAATGTTATGGTAAACATCTACTGATATGTCAATGAATCAGTTCTTTACAGATCCTAATCAGAAAGAAAAGGAGGGGATAGATGACAGACAACTTAGCTTCCTTACATTGTTTGAAGAGAAGGGTTTTTTAAGCTGTCATCATCTGCCTAATGGAGATACTCTTTGAATTTTAAGGTTCCAGAAAACTAAATTTAGGGAAGGAACCAAGTTAGCAGCAACATCAGTTATCCAAGCGTGTAACATACTAAGCACAAATATCACGGTGTTCGTATATCACCTTCACAGAACTTCCATGATCCATCATCTTGCCTCTTCATAACATACTTAACTTTGTAAGTGCTGCAATCAATCAATAAAAAAAACATGGTTAATGAATACAATAAAAGCACAGTAATGTTTAGCCAGTGTCTCACTAATAGACTACTATTATCCAGTAGTGCATGTAAAGTACATCTAACCTATAGTAGTTTGGGTTTTTTTGCTGAGAATTGTCAACGAGTTCAGCTGCTTCCTCTAAGACAGCTTCTATTTCTGCCATGTCTTCTCCATTTCCATCTGACAAAATGTCAGCTCGAAGGACCGATAATTTCAGCAAAACAAATCTCCAGTGACAAGATCTTTCTTTTGCAGCATCAGCCAAAGCTTGCCACTGTCAAAGAAAGCACCAATTATTTTTTTTTCTTGTGTTGCGTGAATTTGTAGTTGTTATCATTTCATTCCATCGTCATTTTCATAAATCAACAAATTTTGAGTATTTCGAGCCATCAAATAGTTAGATATGTCACCCATCACAAGCAAACAAGAATTTGCATGGATAGAGGATAACTTACTTATTTAACAGTGAAGTAGTTCATAGATTGGCAAGATGAATAATTGAACAATAGCAAGTTGAAATGACTTTTTTGATTATATAATAAGGTTAAAAAAAGCCACAGCATGAACTACCTGAGCAAGCATGGATTCGTCAAGGACTTGAGCGAGGCAATTAACTTCATGGCTAGGCCCCAAAGCTTCAGCTTTGATTGTTTGCCATTGCCTAACAAGAGTTTCTGCTTCTTCCACAGGCATCAGCCTCCTGTACACATTAGTGGGACAGGATGATGAGGCAAGAGCAGTGTGTAAATTGCTTTGATTTCCAGCATCTGACTGGTGCAAAAACTGTATCTTAACCATTGCCAAGATTCTCTTTAGTCTGTCCGCAATAGTACTTCGCCTAATATAAGCAGGGCCTACAGTGTATTCAGCAGATGAATCTGCAGTCCAAGCAATGTTATCATTGGCTTTAGTGAAAGCCCGATGAGAACCAGTGACAGTCTTGCTTAGGTTCATTCCCAACAACTTAATGGTAGCAAATGCAATACAACCCAGTATGGTAATGTATGTTATTTTTCCAAATATGTGTGAATGAATGAAGTGACTATCCCAAGTTCCATTGCGATGAGTGCCAAGGTTCCTTTTTACTTCAACAGGTGACTCGTTAAGATTGCTTTCAGTTTCAGTTCTGCCAGTTAGCAGTGAACTTTGCAAATCAGTAGGAGTAAGCTGCTTGACAGCAAACCCTAGATTTGGAGAAGAGCTCATATATGAGCGAGGTTCCTCAAAATCTCTTCGATCTAAGGCACCAGATGAGGATAGAGGTCTATGACATATAGTAGGTGTTGTTTGTTGAGCTCCTTTAGAATTCCTGCTTCCAGAAATTTTCTTTTGAGTATTAAAGAAACTGGCCTGCAGAGATGAACGTCCATAAGCAACATTTTGTCAAAATCAAAGCAACAAATTAGTCGTTTCCTACTACAATCGATCTCACCAGAGCTGGAGAACAATCTTTAGTATCCGGAAATAAAGCAAGAACAGAATCCTTCAGCCACTTTTCCTGGTCAAGTTCAGCAAGTAGTCTGAGATAAGAAATCAAAAACTCAAAATTTTATCATTAAACTTTTAAGATGAAGGATGGAGTCATGGAACATAGATCTTGAAGCATTAAAGCTCAGCTGTTATCTCAAGTAAAAATATAATATCAAATAAAGAAAGATTTTCCTAAAGCCAAATAAAAACAAAAGTGTTATCTCTAAAAATAAAATCTCTTTTTCTATGAAAGAAAACAATAAAAAGAAATCATTATACATGTATGGCGTTTAAATATGTCCTTTAATTGACGCTAGACTCTAAGCATGAATTAATCCAATCCAAAATACACTAGTTTTTGAAACCTAAGTTATAGTTAATAGAACTGAACATGACAAGCACAATTTATCACTCGGGTTCTCAATACTAAAATGGGAGCTGGAAACTTGGAAGCAGGGGAAATGGTATCACTAAGGCCAGTCAAAAACTTCACATGCAACAAACAAAGCTACCAAAAGCATTTCAAATACATGTTTCGAGGGGCAACAAAAATAAGAACTTGCATGAACATGAAACTAAGAGAAATACCAATGATGGGTTTGCAGCAGAAGCATCCATTATTGCCTTCCCCAAGACTGAATTATGTTTCGGATTTGAGTTCAGCTCAAGTAGTTTCAGCTTTTCAACCACCTCAGCCTCTTTGCCCTAGAGAATTCAAGACAACATTATTGAAGAATTGAACTGCAGAAACTCTGGGGAGAATTGGAAAGAGAGGTAAAACTTATTGCTGCTGGAAACCAAGATTCAGATTGTCTAAATACTACGTGAAGCAAGCACCAATTACAAGAGGTGGTATGACAAATATACCTGTCCAAGAAGGAATGAGCAAAAAGCTTCCTCAAATTTAAGATCAATGCCCTCTGAAGCTATTAAACATTCACATATGTCTTTTGCTTTGCTAATCTGCATAAAATTAACATAAACAATTAGTATCAGGATGAAATTAAGAAAGTCATTGTTTGAGAATGTATGCAAAAAAAGAAAAAGAAATGGTAGTAGTAGTAGTTATGAAAAGTGGACTATAAGAGGACTATTAAAATAAGTCTATAAGCTTCAGAAAAGGGTATTACCAACTCTTTTTGCTTGCTAGAAAACCCAAGTGCCATATGAGCAGTAAAAACTCTATAGAAACAGTTTGAATCAATTACTACCCTTAGATTCTGTGATTCAATTGTCTTCTTATTCTTTCGCATCATAGCTAAGTTATCCCAGGGAAGAAGATCAACTATCTCATTAGCCAGCAAACTGTCAAATGCTTGGCTTAGAAAGGAAGGCCAGTCCTGCACTTGGCATGAAGCTTCAACATCAAGACCCTGTCTGAGCAATTCACGCAAAGCAGCAATTGCTCCTCGTCTTCTATCAACATTTTCAGGGGTACGTGGCATGCTCAGTAGTTCCAAGGTGCAAGCAGGTGCAAGCTCTTCAAGAGATTCTTCAATCTGTAAACCATGAAAAGCATCCTCAGGGTTGTGTTCATGCCAAAAATGCAGATATAAAATGTGATAATACAAAGAGGAAGGAGGTTGAGTCTCTTAAACTAAATGTTTTCAGACATTACTGAAATATAGCTAATTCTCTAGCAAAAAAGAGTAGGAAAACACAAGTAGGAAAAGGGCATGATATAAATGATGAAGAATGACAAGGACAGAGAATGATAGAATTGGTAGAGTAATATAGTTTCAAAACTAAGTATGCCAAGATACTAAATAAGTATACTGTATTCATTGATTAGACCTAGGTTAGATATTCACAAAGCTGACATGAAGTATCTGTTATTAAAGCTTCTTGAATTCTTGTAAGCAATTACAAACCAATGTTGAAGTGCAAATTACCATTTTCACAAAATGAGTACACTGAATTATTCCAAAAACTCACTGAATATCCCACAGTTCTAGAAACAAAAATTAGGAGTATAACAGTTTGATATCTGTTGACTTAATGATCTTTAATTTTTCTGTTAAAAGGAGGGGTGGGGTTTGTAGCCCAATCTTTCCTTTATAAAATGTATACTTAAAAAACCAGCTGATGACTTGGAAGACCTTAAGTGAATATACACTTGCCAAAAGTTTTGTACCTCACATAGCAGTGTTATTTTTGCAAGAGATGGTTTACTTCTTAGAAGACACTGGGCACGAGCAAGAGCTTCAAAACCTTGAGATACTTTATTCTTCTCAAAGCCAATCTTCGCAAGTGCACACTTCAAGAAAGCACCTATGATAAGGAAAGGGTACATAACAAGGCTGCTATAATTTCAGGCAGTAATTTTCTGACCGTTCGGTCCACATGTCATACCTCAGCTAGCGCCATAGAAAGAACTAGATCATCTGTATATGGCTTGGCGTCTTGATGCTGAAGACTTGTTCGTCCAGTATCTAGCACAAGCTTTGACTCTCCAACCTGAACATAAGGAATAGAAAAGCAGCTGTCAAAATATTTCCAGAAAAGATAGAAAAAATTGAAGAAGTGAACCATACGAAAATTATTAAAAAGAACTAAGCACATGCCAAATGTACCTCTTGAAGGAGGCATAGAGCAGCAGGCAACCATGACCAAGGAATACGAAGGGAAGATTTAGGGGGAATCTTTTCCCTCAGGTTACCAGTATACTCAGGCTCAAAAAGAAGCTTATCCCTAACATCCATCAGAAGTTCCTGCGGAGCAATATTGGATAAGAGCAACAAACAACAATGACTCAAATTACTTTATCTGCTCCTTTAAAACCAAATTTAGTAAAACTTTGAATCACAAAACATAATTGGTGGTCATATCTATACTTGGCGAGATGCAACAACAGCCATTGTGTAACCTTCTTCAATTTCAGCATTTTTCAATCCCATTACTGCCTTAACGATTTCATCTTTCTCAGCTCTACCAGGAACACCGATAAGCTGCAAAATGGTATGAACTGAGTGGTACAGCATAAATCTTAACACAAATGAAATGAAAATTGGCATGGATGAGCTAATACAACTAAGACACCTGAATATTTATCATTCTAATTTTAAGATTGAATTGTAAAAACACTCATCATAGCTGCTGAACAATCCCAACCATCAATTCCTTCATCACAGTTATCCACATTAAGGCTTTGTAGAACTATATGAAACATGCACAGTTATCCACGTTTAATGTACTATAAATGTAGACAAGCACTACCCAGCATGCAAGTCTATTATTACTATGGGATTAGGAACAAGATGAAAAGTCAAGGCATCAAACCAAGATGTCAAGAAGGAGATTTCAGTTTCTTTCTCTCTTTACTCAACAGTAGAAGTCTTTTAAAAGGTCCTATTTCAGTAATCATATTTTGGCATACTTTTTTTTTTCAAAAAAATAAAACAAAACAAAACAAAATCAGTAAAACAACTTTTCTGTCCATAGAAAATTTTAAACTACCAATAAACAAGTAAGTATTCTCTTCTTCCAGCATTCCCATGTGTTCAGACACAAATGCCCCATTATTTACGATCATCATCCACACAGTCCAGAGTAACCAAATCCCAGCAAACACATGAAAAAATCAAGATTCTTTCTTCTCCATTCCTAATTTCATTTGGGTCATCAAGTTAAAAAGAAGTATGTATAAAACACACACACACACATACAAACAAGCTCAGACACATAAACACAATCAACAAACACATAAAAAACAATCACCTGATAGCAAGAAACTGGGATTTCAATAGTGGATTTCATCTGGGTATTTTCAACAATGCGGGTATCAACAGACTTCAACCTCCTCCTTTCAAGCACAACGTCACTCTTCCCAGCATGGGACCCAACGCAAAACGCGGAACTACAAAACCCAGAACCCGAATCGCCATGAGAGCCCAATAGGGGAGCTTTTGGGTCACAATAACTGATTCGAACAACCCCATACAGAGAAGAGGGAGCTATCACTGCAGCATTAGCAAATGCCATGAGCTCTCATTCCCCAAAATGCAAAAACACCCAAAACCCTAAAGAGTAGAAATCAGCGAAATTGGAATTCCAATAGACACATTGCATTGAGGGAAGAAAAGAAAGTTTTGAATTAGTACAAAAAGCATAACGAAAGTGTGAAAAACGTTAGAGTAAAAGGAGGGAGATTAATTCACTGATTTTGGTTCGTTAACATAACGTACGAAAGTTTCTTGTAAAGTCAGACGTTCACCTTTAATTGAGTTCATTTTTTATTTTAATTCAACCTTAATTTTAATTATTATTTTTTGGAAACTGTTAATTTAAATTTTTTTAGAACTTAACTTGTATAAGTAATGTTTATAGGGTTAGATCACGTGTGTAACTGTTAGATCCAAGCTTAAATCCATAACTGATAATTCTTATAATTTATCTTACCTAGATTTAGACCGTGGTTGGTTGCCTTAACTATGACAACGATAGTAAGTAGATTTTAATTTGGGACAGGTTATATTTATAATTTTTTTTTTTTAAATTCTTACAATTTATATTACAGATAATATATATTTAAATAAGATGTATTATTTATAGTACGGAGTTTATACATATAATCTTATTTTTTTAATTTTTAATAAATATTATTTCTAATGATTTCCTTACGGCATAGATTTCGACAAATTTTTTTATAAGTTATGTGCAAGAGCAGTTTTGATATCAATAAATAAAGTAAAAAATATTGTACCAAAAAAAAAAAAAAAAATATTTATTCTTTTAAATGACATAATTTGTGTTATTTTACTCTCATGAAAAGGTGAGACCCATATCTTTATATTTTTTTTGTCCACTATCTCTTTTTTTATTTATCTCTTTCTATCACTTCAAATGAAACAACTTTATTTTCTTTAGAATCATCAACACTCTTTCCATAAATAAATATCGTTAAGCACGTGGGTTAATGACGAGGGTTGCTCTATCTCTGTTGCTCTTTTGTGATTTTATCCATATTAACAACCGCATTAGATGAATGAACTGATAAAAAAAATCTTAAAAAAATAAATAAATAACTGAATCCTTTCTTGGCAAAGACGCAATGCTGCCACGTTCTCGTTGGCACCGACGTGTTGATATCATTCAAGAACCATTTTTTTATTGAGTTTTTTGTTGAAAGAAAAAAGATTTTAAAAAGGATGAAAATTTCAGAATAGAAGAAAATCTGGTCGATATGATTTACTATTATAACAGCTTAAAATAAATATATACGTTGTGATTACCCACCCCACCCCAGCATCGTATACAAATTCATTATCATGGTCAATCATAAGCGTGACACTTAGGAGTGTCTAATACGCCATTCTAGAACCGGTTGGTTAACATCTCGTATGACATTAGGCGCAGTTACAAGCCCAACAATTGAAGTATTGAACTAAAGTACGGATAAACTTTTTCCTTTTTGCGTTAGTGAACGTTTATATTTAAAATCGAATCCGTAATTAAAACAATTCCAATAATTGTAATCATAACTAAAACTATGTGTCAACACCTAACGTAATTTTATTTAAACCATATGTTGCTACCCTAGTGTGCCAAGTAGTCCCCTTAGACCAACAAGGCTTATAAACTCATTTTTAGTGTTATTAAACACCAAACATCTCCGCTCTTTATTTATTTAAGAAAATCCTATACTACTTTTACGGTCTCCATCTTTCAACATGTTATAGGATTTTTAATTAGCTACGCGTGGGTTCAAACCGCGCTCAAATCGAAGCACCGCATCTCAAGTTACACATTTTCTAAGAAAATAGGTTCTGAAATCCCCAGGACTCCCCACGCTCATAGCGTGAGAAGTCAGAGAAGTTGACGCTCATAGCGTGAACTTGACGCTAAGAGCGCCGCAGTTCTGGAGCAAGTACCAAAACAGGGCAATTTGACCTCCTTTTGTATTTCATCCATAACTTTAGTTATACTACTCTTATTTACGCAATCTTGGTCTCGTTGGAAAGCTAAGAAAGAGATCTACAACTTCCATTCAGACACAAGGATCCAAATCTACCATATAGGATATGAAAAATGGACAACAAGCCAAAATATCCTTATATTTACATTAATTCTCAATCCCAAAGGTTTTCTTTCACCTAATAGACATTATATAACAATTTCAATGCATAATTCTTGCCATTTCAAGGCCCACATGATATCAAGAGGGGCTCAATTACATCAATGTGCATCAAAATGATTACATACCAAAGACTTAGAAATAATAAGTGATCAAAGTCCCACAAGAGCAATACAACATCAATGATCAACTTCTAAGTCCTACATGCATTCATCTATCATTAATGCATCAAAATATCTCAAATATCATCTATCATATGCAAGCTACTCGTGCCCTTTGCCTCGCCCATTATCATCTTTGCTAGCACCTGAAATAGCAGTCCCCAAACGGGGTGAGATAAAACTCAATAAACCCAGGGTTCTTGGAGAGTTGCTCAAACCCCAGAGTTCACTTCCTGCATGAAGGGTTAATGTACACATGGCATGAACTACATCATATATCCAGAGGCAATAACAGTAATGATTTAACAGCAGCATACTCATGCATTTCCATGGCCAAAGAATTAAACAATCAAATCATCACACATGCCTCAGTTGCATCTTAGTCCTTTCCACTAAGCATACAACCGAGCCCCTAGTGCTTGTCCATTGGCCCTTTCTCCAATGACACAACAATACTATATGAATGCAAACATACCATAATACTAACATTACCACTCAATCATCCATTCATAAACCATCACTTCCATAAAAGCAACGGTGGAACAACAAGAGGGATTAACCTCCAAGATCCAAAGGTTTACCTCAAAGCTTCAGTTCAACCTTTGTTCTTCACCAATGAGTTCTACAACCAGTCAACTTCGAGTTCAAACTATAACTTGTAAAATACACACCTACACCAAGGTGTCACATAATCAATCATACAAGCAACCGAATATTTATATATCCATCAACACTTCAAGCATAAATTTTCCAAGATTTTGAACATGGCTTAAATAACAATCTAAACTCATTTCTACCGTTTATTTAACATTCCTAGCATTTTTCACAATATACACTAAGTCTCAATCCTCCTAAAACATAGCCAATCTACTCACATTATCATAAAACCCTAAACACTATTCATCATCTTCCCCAATCATACATTCTCCATGCAAATAGAGTTCAAGGAGTAGAATCTTACCACAATTGGTTCCACAACCAAGGGATGTGGACCTCCTAAGCTCCCATGGAAAGAATCACCTTCACACACCTCAAATCCTTAAATTTTCGCCACTTTCAACAAGAAAAATCCCACTCCACAATGCTACCCACAACAAACCAAGCTTGGATTAAGGATGAGAGGAATATTCTAAGTGGTTTAAGTCTTGGAATCAAGGAAAAAGGTCAAGAGTTGAGGGAGCTAGGGTTTCCCTCTCTTTTTTTTCTCTTCTCCTTCTCTCATTTTCTGGTTCTTGCTTGACGGATGTGGGGGGGGGGGAATGAAGTGGGTTCTTTGCTTTTTAGTCACTTAACATAAGTTAAGTGAAATCAAGCGGGTATTAGCTAATCTATCTATTCAACTTCATTCAACACCAAACTTTACCCAAAGGTCTGGAATATTTTTCTAGGAATATTTTCACTTCCATTTTTATATTTTAGGTACTTTTGCCTACACCCATTTGTACCCCTTAATTTTCATTGACTGCACTTTTTATCCCAAAAGTGCCCCTAATTAATTTAATTAGGCCTTTTACTTATTTCAACTCACTAATACATGCTAATTTACTTAATTACATGTAATTTACTATTTAATTTGGCTAGGGCTATTAAATGTGCCATACATGTCCCTATTACGTATGTCGAAGATTAATTTTACCAATAAATTGAATATTGAAGAATGATTTTCGTCTTTAAGAATGATGACCCAATATTTTTTCAAGGACTAATTTAATCTATTAATTTGACCGATTTACTTTTTTCTTGAGAAGAAAAAAGTACCATCAAAATATGTAAAGGCAATTAAGGATATGTATGATGGGGCTACTACATGTGTGAAAGCTTGTAACAGAACATCAAGTTATTTTTCTAGCACAGTAGGTGTATACCAAGGTTCGACTCTAAGTCCTTATCTCTTTGCCTTAGTTATGGATGAACTAACAAAAGATATTCAAGAGGAAGTGTCATGGTGTATGCTCTTTGCAGATGATATTATGCTTATTGATGAAAACTTGAATTGTGGAGACGCACGTAAAGGATTCACATTAAGTCGGAGCAAAACTGAGTATTTGAAGTGTGAGTTCTCTCTGGTAAGAAATGTAGACCAAGATCCCGTGCATCTAAGTGGTAGAGGTACCTAAGAAAGATGCTTTTAGATACCTGGGATCCATTTTGCAAAAAGGTGGAGAGATTGATGAGGATGTAAATCATAGAATCAGAGCAGGGTGGATGAAATGGTGTAGTGCATCTTGGTTTTTGTTGATCGCAAAATCTCCCTTAAGTTAAAAGGAAAATTCTATAAAACAGCAGTAAGACCTGCAATGCTATATGGAGCGGAATGTTGGCCAGCACACAGGCAACATGAGCATAAAATATGAGTAGCAGAGATGAGAATGTTAAGGTGGATGTGTGGTTATACGAGGATGGATAAGATAAGAAATAAAGATATTCGACGAAAGGTAGGAGTACTACTGGTGGCTGAAAAGATGAGATAACATAGATTGAGGTGGTTTGAGCACGTAATGAGAAGACCTCTGGATGCTCCCGTAAGAACAAAAGTTTGTTACAAGAGCTCAACACAAAAAAAGGTTGAGGTAGACCGAAACTTACTTGGATGAAGGTAATAAAACAAGATTTAATGGAGTGAGATATAGATTAGCGGACGATATGCTTTAGAATGAAATGGAGAAAAACTATAAGCATAGTGTAGGGCTAGACCCTGTTGTTATTCTTATGTTCTAGATGATCCCTTTTTAGTCTTTTTCCTCTTTATTTTCCTCTCTTCTTCTTTTCCCTTTCTTTTTTACTTATATATATATATATTATTTTATTTATTTATTTTTATTTTTATTTTTCAAATTTCATATCTTTTATTTGAATTCATCTATCACCGATCCCAATTAATTTGGGATAAAAGTATTGTTGATGTTGATGTTGAATTATTCACCGGAAAATTTTACCAATTACAATTTCTAATACATTGTCATTAACCTTCTTATAATTCCTTCAAAATCACTTATCATCTTATGATTTTTTATTATTATTTATCTCCTATTATTTTGTCCATCTAATCCATCTTTTTCTGTTAAAAATTAAATTAAACTGTTTATTTTGTCCTTACAAAAAGAATCACTAATTGGGGTAAAGTGGAGTTGGGATAATTGAATTTTTAAAAAAATATATTTAACTTTTAACTTTAAGGGGGCGTTTGGTTCAGGAATTTTTTTTGAAATAGTAGAGAAATGAGATAGATAGAGAAATGATTGGAAAGATAGATAAAATGAGATAGGTAGAAAAATGTAAAAAAAAAATTGTTTGGTGAAAAAAAACTTTACTGAGAAAATTAGGTAACTTTATGAAATCAACAGTGCATTAAAAGCCAAATAATCGATTTTTTGAAAAATCCCACCTTCAAATTGGGTTTCTAAACAGTGCGGATATCTATGTTTCTCATAAATCCAGACAAATTGGATAGATGAGTTTTTGGTGAAAAACATTGAAACAAACATGGTGTTTCTAAAAGCAATACTTGAGAAAGATAGATATCCTCTAAAAAACTCCCAACCAAACCCCACCTAACTTTTTCTTTTAAAAGCAACACATGCACTATTTTAAACATATTTCTTTATTACTTTTTTCAAAAATTATCCAAATACATAAAATTACTTAAAATGACTTTTTTTAAAAAAAAAAAAAAATTCGTAGAGAAAAAAACCTATCTAAACGCACACATAATCTCAATAAGCCTGATTTATTCTTTAGCCATGTTAAAATATGGATTAAATAAAAAAACAATAAAGTGATAAATCATGAATAATAAAAATGAAATCATTAATTTTTATTTTACTTTCCCCTTATATATGTAAGACTCGAACTCCAAATTACTATTTAAGTTGGAGTAACGCTTTCTAATCAAATTTTTAACATCATGACTCAAAACTCGAAAACGCTAATTAACCTCGAATAATTAGCGATTATATCCAAATCTAAGTGTTTAATGTGACAGAGATCATTTGTTCCCGCGTTCTGAGCATTTTGCTGTGAGCAGAAGAAAGAAACAAGGTTGAATCAGAAATGGCGCGAGGGAAGATGAAGAAAAAAGAGGTGGAAGAAGAAGGGGAAGAGAACCCAGAAACCATAGAGCGCAAGAGGCTAAAAGCCTTAGCCTTTTCCAACAACATGCTTTCTGAGACTCCAGCTAGAAGTTCCATTCATCTCAACCCTTCATCCACAGTGATCAAGCATCATGGCAAAGACATCATCAAAAAATCACAAAGAAAGAGCACAAGGTACCTCTTCTCCTTCCCTGCTCTCATTGCTCCTATTGCTGGTGGCGGCAAAATCGGTGACCTCAAGGATTTGGGAACCAAAAACCCCATTCTCTACCTCGATTTCCCCCAGGTTCTTTTTTTTTTTCCTTCTCTTTTCAATGCAATTTGTAATCCAAAATGGGGGGTTTTGGTTTATGGGTATGCTGTGTTTTTGGGGTTCAAGGCATGATAACAATTGGGTTGTGAAAACAAAACGAAAATAGTAGAAAGGAAATTGGGTTTGTTTTAATTTTTTATTTTTAATGATATTTTAGTCTTTGAAAGTGTAACTCTGTTTGAAATGTAGGCTTTGATTTGAATTTAAGTGGACGATTTAGATCATAAATTATTTAAAGCTAATGTTTTATCAGCCTTGAAATACTATTTGTGATTGCAGGTTTTTAGATGAGTGTTTGTAGTGGTTTTCTCTTGATTCGTTTGGCTTCTTTTAGGAAATGTCATGGAAAGGAATTTATAATGAATCTGTGGACATATATAGCATATATGTTTAGATGTCTGTTCTCTCATAAGTGGATTTGGTGTATGCTCTTGGGTGGTTGAATTTTTTAATGGTAGCTTATACAGACTGAGCTGAATTAGCATGCAGAGCAAAAATTAAGAACAGATTGTAACGTTGTAATGGATTTGACATTTTATTCTTACTATCAGTGATTGGATGAACTGGAACTATAACAAGAGAATTCCAGCTTTAATAACAGATCAATGTTAACAGTAAAACATAAATAAATATCAATGATTGAAGGAAAAGAAGTAAGAAGTAACGTTCCAGGGGAAGAAATTCAGAGAAAAGTTAGACAGAAGAGTCCCCCCTTCGCCGCCATTCCCTCCATCCTCTCTTAATTCTGTCATGAGTTCCTACCCAACTTTGATTCTTGCCTTCCATGTTGGCTGTAACCGATCTGACTGACTCAGCTTAAGTGGCATGACTGGTAAAATAACAAGTCTGATTCAGCCCTTGACTCAGCATAAATGAGAACTTGTTGGTCTAAATCTTGTTGTAGGACAATTGAAAGCAAGAGAGGAAATGCTTGTTTTAATATCTGTTTTTTTTTTCCTTTTAAAGTTTTGAACTGTTTTAAGAGTTTTGATTTGGTATGTTGCGGATTGGTAACTGACGAGATGCATTTTCATTTCCATCTTACAGGGCCAAATGAAGTTATTTGGAACTATTGTGTATCCAAAAAACAGATACTTGACTCTACAGTTCTCTAGAGGTGGAAAGAATGTGATGTGTGAGGATTATTTTGATAACATGGTTGGTTCTTTTACCCTTCCTGGTTATTTTTGTTTGTCCCTGATATATGAACTAGAGGAAGGTAGATTAATGTCCAAATTATAAGGGGAGTAGTACATGCTCAGCCAAAGAACTTCCTTGTGCGTAATGATTATCACAGCCTTTTTATATCTTAATTTCATGATGGGTAGGTACATGGGTTTTAGAGCTGTTAAAATCATTTATGTGCCTTCATTCAATAACTTAAGCTTTTGAGATAGTTGGTTTGGTTCATGACATGGTATAGAGCTTCTATGACCAAGTGGTTTTTGATCCTTGACGCATTCATTCTTTTGAATAAAAGGTGAATTTTAGCAGATGGTAAATAGGCCTATGCGTTATCTATACTTCAAGTCCAGAGAGCTATTGTGTGAGATGGTGTGTTAGAGTAATAATAAAATCGTTCGTGTGTCTTCACTCAATAGCCTAAGCTTTTAGTATAGTTGCACCTATTTCTACTACTAATTAGGTCAAGTGCTAGTACTACAAGCCCAAGCCCAAGCCCACTAGTAAAAAGACTAATAACCTTGATATCTTGTAACACTCCCCTTCAAGCTTAAGCTTAGTAAGCTCCTTGGTACTCCACCTGAATCACAAATTTTGACAACATCCTTAGTAGAAAGCTCCTTGCTGCTCCTTGGCACCCATCCCAAGCAAATGAGATAAGTTCATGAAGTCTTCTATCTTTCTTCTTTGTGGCCCCCTCAACCTCCTAACTAATCTCCAATACACTGAGTCAGGTGCCATACTGCCCAGTAATGCCCTCTAACCAGGTCAACAAAACACAGAATTGGGTATCATACCACCCAGTAACACAAACCAGCAAAAGAAAGAGAGCTTAGAACAATAATCTACACAAACCATACAATCCCATGAAGAAACCCATATAGCCTCACTTAGGAAGTGTAACCCAAGGTGTTAGTTATTGAGCCACTGCTGCTCCTCGTACTAGAATCATTGTTGGATTGAAGGGAAGGGGCGCCACCATTGGGAAAGAGGAAGGGGCAGTGCACGAAGGAAAAGGAGAAGGTTTTCTGAAAAAATTATTATTATTATTATTATTATTACATTAGAAACAACACTAATAACCCCAATATCTTCTAACAATGGGTAATAGTGGTTTTACAATGCATGCCTTTTTTCTTGTTATGTTCTCCATATCAGAAAATTATGGGCCCTAAGTGAATTATAATATGTGGGGTGGATGGAATGATGCCATTGGTTTTTTCTCAAAACGGAACAAAGTTGTGAACAAAACTAAACTTGAGTTAGTGCTGTCATGATTCCCATTTCATACTCATTCTGCAATTTTAATTCCTATGTTTATGATATTAGAGTTACTGTTTTCATTACTGACTGACTGGTTTCTTTCTCCTTTGCAACATACACTTGTCTAGATCTAACAATGCTTGTGTTCTTCCCATTCCGCTTCCTATTGCAACTTTTTGTTGGTCTTGGAATAAATTTTTTAAGCATTTCTTTTTGCTTCTTAATCTACAAATTTGTATCTTCTGGCATCGGGCTTTTTTGGGCACGAATACCTATGTTCCTTATCAGCAATAGCGATACCTTGATTTTACTAGATTGTATTTTCGGATGCATGGTGGATTGGAAGGAAAGATGAGAACCCAGAAGAAGCCAGACTTGAACTTCCTAAAGAATTGTATGAGGTTAGGAATTTTTACAATGTAATAGTTGCCTGGTTATAAGAAACAACTTCTGCCCTTCGTTAATGTCCTTCGTTAATGTCCTTCTATTTCAGGGACAACAAGCCGAATATGACTTTAAAGCAGGTGCAGGTGCAGCTTCTGTACTTAATGAAGATGTTTACAAAACCAGGATTCAACGTGCAGAGCAAGAGTCACCAAAGACACCCATTGAAGATGATTTATCTGACAGTGAAATCAATTCAAAAGATACCAAGGAATTGGTTCCAGTCCGCCATTCAGTGAGAGCTGCAAGAAAATCATATAAGTATAAACCTCTTCTATATTAGCTGACTTGATGATATATGTTGCTTTCTAGCCGTAATGTCATGAAAAATTATGTTATGTGTGACAAAGCATAATTTTTAATATGCTGATAGAGCCAGTGGTTCAATTTGCCTAAAAATTTAACACTAATGCTTTTGTTTTTGTGTGATTGTTTATTTTTGAGTTATTTAACTTTAAGTGGAATGTCTGACTTAAGTAAAAATTGTACCGTTTGTGAGTGAAAGTCCTATTCATTTAGTTCTTTTGTTGGACCAGATTTGCTGAAATTTCTTCTGGTGAAAGCAGCCCTGACCTTTCTGAACATGAAGAAAAGGTGGTTGAAGTTGATACTGCTGTAGATGATCGTAATAGCTCAAATATCCTTTTAGTCAGTTTGGTACCCGCTTAAAATTGGGGATGAAAAATGCAAGATGTGTTTTTTCATACTATTTTTCATATAACGCTCATCCCTGAATTTTGCACATCATTTTTAAGGGTACATCTAACTGACCTTTATAGTTTATGTTAGACATAAATCATTCATGTGCTTTTACCCAACAGTTTAAACTTTTTGGGTAGTAGTTTATTATATGATATCAAAGTTTCTACGACCATGTAGTCTAAAGTTCTATCCTTATTGCTCCCATTCTTCTAAGTAAAAGTTAGATTTTTAGCATAAGGTAGGGTGAGCCTATATATTGCCTATGCATCAAGCCCAAAGGACTCTTGCATGAGAGGTCGTGTTAAATATAAAGTTATTCATGTGCTTTCATCCAACTGCTTTAAGCTTTGGGGATAGTTTATTAGTTGATTGGATAGCAATGTTCAACTTTATTTTTCCTTTTGATCTTTGATGTCTTTGATCCCTAGTCACCTGGAATTTAGAATACTTTGACCCTTACAGTTTATTAGTTGATTGGTAGCACTGTCTTTGATCTTATATTCTATATTATCAGTGAATTTATATTTTGTCTTTCTTAATTCACGGCTACAGAAAAAAACTGTAGTTGTTGACATCGCTAATGAGGATGCTGCACAAGGAGATCAACTCCCCAAGAAAAATAAAGGGTGTACATCAGCCACTGCATCTACTGAAGTTGTGTCCAGTAATCGTGGTTCACTTGTTCAGGCTACTATATCCACATTATTCAAGAAAGTGGAAGAAAAAGTAAGCTTTTGAAACTCTTAGCTTGAGAGCCAGCAAGTCCTAGCTTTGAAAAAAAAAGTTAAATTTTTTACATCCCTTATATATTTTAGAAATGTATAATTTCTATGTGCATGTCAATATTAGGTTACTCTCTTGTCATACATATACAGAATTATGGGAAAATAGCTCCTAAGATATTTGTGTGTTCGCTGTATCTCTAGGCAACTCAGAAATTTTTTATCTTGATCTCTCGCTAGTCATGGTGGTATGTAATCATTCTGGGTATAGATATTGGTGATAATGGTATTAAGATTAACAAAAATATTCGAACTTTAGAACATTGAGATGATTCGTATGAGGATTGTTTTTACGATGTCATCCAGTTCAACCATCTGACTTTAGTGGTTAAATTTCAACGTGAAGTCTCACTGGTTTAGTTTCTGGTGCAGTTTTGATAACTTCGCTTTTAAGAATTGATTACGAAATTTGAGACTTGAATTCAGAGCTAGGGTTGAGCCACCGGCATTTAGTAATAGATGTTGCTTTGGGAAACTTCCAATTCTGTTTCAAAGGCTGGATGTTGTAAAGTAACACCAGTTATGAAATGTGATAGAGACCAACCAAACAATTGAAGAAACGACTCAAGAGATGTATAGTAATAAGATCCATCAAATACAATGTTCAGCAAGACAGCTTACAATAGAGACAGTGTAATAATCCTAAAGGAAAAATACAGCAATAGTAATGGAATTAAGACAGTGACAGGAATGGAAAATGCAGAAAGGTAAAAGATAATGTGGAAAAATACAGCAATAGTAATGGAATTAAGACAGTGACAGGAATGGAAAATGCAAAAAGGTAAAAGATAATGTGAGACAATTTCCAGATGCCCTTCAAAATGCTAATACCCTCCTCTAAATAGAATCAGCTCCTCCAAGTGACCCAATGCCTTCCAATGTGACTTCCAATAACTAACTTCCCCTCCCAACAACTTTTGCTGACTTAGCATTATGCAATATTCCCCTGCTTCTCTTTCTTTTATACTCCCTTTTATGCTGACCCGCTGACTACGATCATATCAATACTCCCCCCTTAACAATCACCTTGTTCTCAAAGTGATGTTTAGCCCCCAAGCACCTTCCACCGGGATCTCATTTCTTGAATTGTAAAAGCCAAATTATGTGCAATGGATGATAACTTCCACCGGGATCCTATGGCTCATCTTCAATGCCACGAGATGGCTTCATGAGATAACTTTGCAGAAACTCGACGAGCATAGGAATAAAATTCTGACAAGCTAACTTCATCATATTCAATGAATGATCCTCTGTCTTCATTAATTAGGCCTTTAGTTTCATAGGCTCTTTCAAATAACCAAACCATTTGTTCATCACATTCTGCACTAGAGCCATTGTTACATCCCAACACCAAAAGAACATATAACATGCTGAGAGCTGAGCCAAATTGGACCCATCTTACTAAAACGGCAATGGGAAATTCCAAGTAGAATGTAGAATTAAAGGTTTTTGTTATATCAAAACAAGTGAAATAAGCACTGATTACATGATCTTCATGAATCTTGAGAACTTCTCCTCCAACATAGTCTGCCATGAAAAGGCCGTCATTCCCTCCATCCCCACCCAAGCCATGTTCAATCATTAGTTTAAAAAAAAAATATAATAGGATCATACATGGTAGCTCCCTCCTCATCAAGCTTGGCAAGACCCAATGTCAAAACCTCCTTCCCCATCATATATCCCATGGCATAGGCACCTTCAATCACATCCATGAAATGTTGAGATATAACAAAAACATTTGCAAGGGACCCATGAAAGGGCCAACGGTTTTCTGCTAGGCAATTAGGCCAACAACATGTCTACCAACTTTTGTTGTAAAAAACACATTTGAACTAACTGGTATTAAACCCAATGCCCTTTCCATGAAATCTGTTATTGTGAACCCAAGGACCATCATATCAAATGGCTCCAGGTCACACTCATTGCAGTTCCCACTCGTTCTTGGATCATGGCTGCTGGTAATTTTCTTTCTATCCTCCATATTAGCGCAAGCACCAACAACATAATATAGATTTTGTGCCATCTTAGCAAGGGGTTTGAAAACATATCCATCAGACTACTCAAATTGGTTGTGGCTGCCTGTTGCGCAGAACTAAGCATTGGAAGCGCTGAAGCAGTGGTCAACGAACATGAAGAGGTTTTTGTCGGTCATCAGAATCGGATAAGACTCACAACCTTATCTTTCTTTAAGACAATGCCTTTGCTTCTGGGTCGGTTTGGGAATGATCGAAAATTAATTTAGGCTTCAATTAAAACTAAGACAGACATGCCTTTACTTTTGGATTGAAATGGGTCAGGCTTGATTGTAATCTGGGTTGGGTCAGTTTTATCCAATTTCATCTCTAACCTAACATCTCTGTCCTTTGATTCTTGATGTGTTCGACTCCACTCATGGCCGCACAGCAAAGATCCCTTGTTCTTCTTAAGACAGTATGAGTCTGGCGGGTCTGGTGACGGTGGTGGGTCAATTGTCACCGATGGTGGGTCTGCCGGTGCCAGCGCTTGCACAATCAGAACTTCTGTCATCTTCATAAACTCTTCCACTATAGCTTCTTTATCATTCTCCATTAACACAAAATCAAGTGGCTATTCTATATTTACTAACATGATATTTTCTTGATTCCTCCTTCCATTTTGGATTTCAAACTCCTGAATTGCATTTTTCTCCATAACAGCCTCTGTTCTCTTCTTAAGTTGTTGTTCATGTTCTTTTTCCGCTTCATACTCCAGTTTCGACGTCTCCTTCTTTTCTATCAACATGTTTCCTTCCCTCTCTGCTTTTGAATTCAAATGTCCCCTTTGTTCGTCTTCATCACAAAGATATAAATCTAGGTCGTATTCCGGTTGAAATTCTTTTAGGAGAAATCCCACCAACTTGCCTTCAAATTCGACCCCCTCCAGGAAAGGTACCAAATGCATTCGTGTCCTTTTAGTCCCTTTGCAGCTTCTGAAATTTTTTTAGTTTCTGGCGTTCTTTTCACCTTGAAGTATTGCTCCATTTGGATCTTCCATCTATAGTCTTCCACTCCATCAAACACTGGTAACTCCAATTTCTTCTCTCAAACTTTAGAACTATAGAATTCTCCATTATACCTACAACTTGAATCTCTTTGTTGCCGCTCAGGTTGTCTATTTCGCGAATTTATTTACTTATTTAGTTGAGAAGTGTTCCGCAAAACCTCATCGAGGAGCCTCATTATCTCACGTAGGTCTCCTCCATTCTTCTCATCTTCTCCAATCCCTCAGATTTGTTTTCCTTTTTTTTTTTTATCCTTAAAAGCCCCCTAGATCGAAGAGCTCTGATATCAATTGATAGAGACCAACCAAACAATTGAAGAAACGACTTAAAAGATGTATACTAATAAGATCCATCAGATACAATGTTCAGCAAGACATATTACAATACAGAGACAGTGTAATCCTAAAGGAAAAATACAGCAATAGTAACGGAATTAAGACAGTGACAGTAATGGAAAATGTAGAAAGGTAAAAGATAATGTGAGACAATTGGAGAGTCCTTACTCTCTCCCAAGGTTCCAGTTCCAATAACAATTTCCAGATGCCTTTCAGAATGATGATCCCCTCCTCTAAATAGAATCAGCTCCCCCAATGTGACTCAATGCATTCCAATGTGACTTCCAATAACTAACTTCCCCTCCTAACAACTTTTGCTGACTCAGCATTATGCTATATTTCCCTGCTTCTCTTTCTTTTATACTCCGTTTTATGCTGACCCGCTGACTAGGATAGTATCAAAATGCCTGTGATTATGCAAAATAATAACCTTTGTGCTATTAATTTATTTTATCTCTATGATTAAACCTTTCTAAGAATAAATAAGTGGTTCGTGATTGTTTATCTCTATCAAGTATTTCTGCATGATTTGGATGACCTTAGTTTCATAATAATTTTGCCTTCTTACTAAATTGGGTCTGAATTATCTTATATACTGCCTGGTATTGCTCAATACTGGTCGAGTTGATTATCTCACGAAAATCTTTTACTTTCAGAAGGCTCCAAAAAATTCAAGGAAATCTCCAACATCAAAAGGTTGTTCTTTTCCTAGTTTCTTTACATTATTATTAGCAATTATGATTGTAAAGACTGAATTATAAAAATTATTGGTGATTTTCAGCTTCTGGCCAGAAGTTGCAGGCTGCTGGTTCAAAAAGAAAGACTGATCTGGTTAAATTTTCTTTTTTCTTAATTTCCTGAATCTCTTTTTCTTCAAGTGGGATGAGAATTTTCCTTAATTGGCAATGAGTGCTTCATGTTGGAGTAGGATATAGACTGAGTTATTGGCTATTGTTGTATAGGCTGAAGGATCCAGGAAAAGGGCAAGAAAGATTAAGGACAAAGATCCTGGTAAATATTCTCCCTCCCTCCTCCATGTCCTCTAATGACTATGTAGTGTTATCATTGTTAAAAGGTAGTTAGTTATTCAATCTAAATGTGTGTATGCATCTTTGGATCGTTGGTCAGACCAAACTTAGAGGAGATAGTTGCTGGTCCCTCAATTTTGCAATATAAGGAAGAGAGAAGGCCACAAACTTGTAGTTATAGTGATTAGTGAGAGGGACTGAACCAAATATAAGCAAGATGCATGATATTGAAACTTTATTGTGACGGTCCTCTTCAGACTTTGTATTTCATATAAATTTGCGTCTTGTTGATGCTGTCAAACTGGCACAGTATATGGCTGCTTTGTATGGGACTTCTACTGTTCTACCTGCATATCATCAAATCAGTAGAAGAAACTAGAATCACGTTGTATATATTCTTATTGTTATGCTAACGGTCTAACTATTTAAAATAATTTGTATGTAGTTACGTCTTCTCTTTTCAGATGACTACCGATGTGTATTAAAAACTTGTCTTGATAAGTTGTTTCATAAATGAAACTTTGGCAAACTTACAATGTATGTGAATTTTTAGGTGATAAAATTATGGCAAAAAGCAAGGAATGCAAGGTAAGTTTTTCTCATTCTTTGAATTCCATGCCTTTCTCTGTGTGGGTTTAGTGATTGAATCTTCTTTTAGTGGGTTCTTATGTTTTGTGCTTAATCATACAACCTTCTTTTTTTTTTTCTATTTTTTCTTTTTTTTCATTTTCCACATAAATTAAATAATATTTGGAGAAGATATACACTATTTGATTATGGTGGGTGCTATATATTCCAAATTTAGATTGGCGTTGATTTGTGCTATAACGTACCCATATAGTTCCATTTACAATTTCATCCGGATATTCTTCGCTCTAAAAATTGAATTAACATCAATCTCTGCAATATGATTACTTGGTGCTCTTAAATATCTTAGGAAATGAGAAAGCTTGCATCAGTCTTACAGTTTTCTTTGAGCCGATAGTTTGACATTTACATAATCAATGTAGGTTGAAGATGATGATGACATTGAAGAATTTTCAAATGCTTCAGAGGTAATTCTTCCTAACTTTACACATGCATGCACTCACATGTATGTACCCTACACAGACAGCTAGTTTATTACTGTCTATAGTTTTATAGCAGGCATGGTGTTAACCTTCTGATATATTATTGACTGTGTTGACAAATGTTCTTTTTAGGATACTAAAGGAAGCGATGACGACTGGACTGCTTAAGAGTGTGATCTGAGTTGTGGCTACTAAGCAAAGAGATGACAAGGCAAGGTCATACTAGTGATGCGATGCCATTTGACTCGTTGAGATAGATGAACCGTGATGACTTAGCTTTCAATGTGTTTTATCAAATTATTCTTTTAGGGTACATGATTCCTTCAGAATCTGAACAGCAGATAAGCCAAAGCTCAGTGACATAACAATTTTAAGCATATATTTAGTGATAGTTATTTAGATTTGAATACCTAAAATTTAGCTTAATAAAAAATGCATTTGTTAGTTTGGAGAATTCCATTTTTCTAATGATGGGTTGGTAAATGAAGACATAAAAAATAACCAAATACCTTCTTTCTTTTTTCTCTTTTTTTTCTTTTTTTTTTTAAATATTCCAATCGGTTCATCGTTTCGCGACTAGTTTGATTTGGGTCAGATCCAGGATTAAGACTTTAAATCTCTTCCAAAGGTGATATTGAGGAGGATCGAACATATGCTCTCACCTCCATCTGCTCAGCTCTCACGCGCCAACTGAGCTACCACTATTTGATATAACCAAATACTTTCTAGAAGTGTTCTCTTGCAATTGTACCATGATTCCACCATTTGCCTATGGTTGTATGGGATATCAACAAAAATATCAAAATATAACATTAAAATTATAAAAATTATTTAAATTCTTAATTATCCGATCAAAGAAACCACCAACTCTACTTCGTCTGTAATTTACATAAATTTTTGTATGGTATGGAAATCTATTTTTTCCTCTTTAACGAGGCTCCTAATTATTTCTCATTCTCTTGAGTTTATAATTGAAATAGTTCCATAAAAGGATGAACATGCATGGGGGTTGGTTGAATAAAAATAAAAATCTCTCTGCACTTCAAATTCAATGATACTTCATGCCATCAAAATGACTCTCAGGAACAGATAAAAAGTTATTGAGATACCACCAAGGTTACTATATAAAATATATTGAACGTTATGGCATGTTCAGAGGAAGCATATTTGAAATGAAGTTGTTTTAAGAGCCTCAAATGACACAATGCAATGTAAACATGCAAACATATAATTTCTTTCTGATATAACATACACAATAATTTTGCTTTGCTGTGTTTTGCTAAACTAGATGGCTGCAGAAGTTTAAAAGTGCAAACTTGAGTGATCTTTCACAGATTTACAAGTGACAAGCTTTCAGACTTATACAAGATACCAAGCCCAAACCTGACTTTAATTCCCTAAGAATTTATCAACCCTCACATTTGTGGCCCTAGACAAGAACTTCATGCAAATTGGTGGCTTAACTCCAGCAAGAGCAAGTATTGAAGCAGGTAGAGTCCATATTCCATCCCCACATATCAAACCAGAAGCTACAGCTGGTCCAAAAGCATCAGCCTTGGCCTTATTAATCTTTTCCCACACATATAATATCAGACTTCCAACACACATGTCAATGGCAAAGTAAGGCCCTATATAGAAAGGTATTGCCATGGCCATTGGAAGTGGTACGAACCTCCCTCTCTTACCCAGTAAATCTTTAATCAAGTTTACCGCAATGGCAGCAGCAAAGAATATATAACAAAGCAGGAGGCAATGTTTTGGTAGAGATTTAAAGCCTTGTACCCCCAATATGGCCATGTTACGGTACACACTTGCATATGGGGCAGGATATTCACTTGTATGTGTCCCAAGGTCAGGAAAAGCTTTGTAGAAAATCCAAAAGACACAAGGAGAAATCACACAACCCATTATTGTGCCAAATATTTGGCTCACAAACATGGAACGTGGTGAAGCCAAGGTAAGGTAGCCAGTCTTAAAATCCTGCATCAGGTCAGAGGCTGTGGAAACAATGTTCATCATCACACCACAGGCTGCAAGGCTAGCAAGAACTCCACCATGTGATGCACCAGCCCATGCTCCAATTGTAAAGATGGCAAGCTTTCCATAGGTTGATGCAAGGGACCAATCTGTTAGCCCACAACCATAAGCATTGCAGAACGCTAAGGTGGGAGCAATTAGGTAGATAACAAGAATGTAATACCATTTTAGTTGGGGGAATATGTGTGGCAGAGTGGCTGTAGAAATGGAAGCAATGGCAACATAGCCTCCAACTGCAAACCATGTAGGAATCTGATCTTTAAGGAAGAGTTGGGTGCGGCGCCGGTCATCAAAAGATAGCTGAGGACTTGAGGGAGAGTCTTGATCTGCAACAGGAAGAACATTCTCCCTTTGTTTGTTCCGGATTTGATTAAACAAACCCAACAAGGTATGAGTTAGCACCTTCACAAAGTTATATAAACCATCTCCCAGGATCAAGGCTATGGCTATAAATACCTGAACTCAAGGTGTAAGGTAAATCCAATTAATTGGTAGACATTAGAAAGTGTGTAAAATATAGTGGAACTAGAGGTGTTTTACATTAGGAAACTTACCCTATAACCTTGGATGCCATGAAGGTCACCATCACCAAGACCTATAGCATACCAATGTCCCTCTTGGTTTTTTATGAGAGGCCACATAAGTCCCCAAGAAATAATTCCTCCAAGGAGCACTGATATATTTATGATATATGGGCAAATCATTCCCACTCCAACATAGATTGCAGAAAAATCAAAAAAAAACCTGTAAGTAAATAAAGATAAGATTAATCACTCAGAATTAGAAGGGGACTAGTTTGAAGTATATTGCTGTTAGATTTGAGCATGTTTTCATCTCTAGATAAATAAGTTATTTAAATGAAGATGTGACAACATACTTGTTTTCATATGCTTTGAGCCCCAATGAAGGGAAGGCTTGAAATCCACACTCATCAGCAGCTGTATAGAACCATTGAAAGAAACCCCATAAGAAACTCAAACTGAAGAATTTTCCCAACACGTTCACTTGCTTCCTGGAAGAGTAAAAAAGAAACAGTATATTAGTTTGGATGATTAACTTCTCATGTAACATGGAGTCTGGTACAGTGCCTACTTTGCAAGTTTGGCTCCCAGAGGAGTGTGGAAGCTGTTGATGAGATGGGCAGTTGCAGTACCACTTGGATATGTCAATTTGAAGTCAATGATCATAATCTACAACCAAAAATAGAAGCAAAATTTAATCAAGACAGTGGCAAGTGAAATACTGATAATAATTGAAAAAGGGCTAAAGCACATGTACAAAAAAGAAAAAGAAAAAAGAAAAGAAGGGCTAAAGCAATTAAGTTAAAGCATTGCACTGCTTAAGTATCAGTTTCTGCAATGCATTTTCCAAGATAGTAAAAAAAAAAAAAATATAGGTAAACAATAACTCTGCAGGTTTTCTAAATTAATATATTCATTTTCAAATTTATTAGGAATAAAATGGAACATTAATGGATAGTACAGTCAATGTTTCAAGAATGTATCATACCCTTCTTAGAGGTACAACTGAGAAGAGTCCAAGAAAGCTAACAACAAAGAGAAAAGCAATCATCCATCCTAATCTTGGGTCCTTAAAATCACTGGAGTCTGAGGCTATCTTGGCTTCACGTTCACTCATTGCAAGGAGGTAACTCCCAAATCCTCCTGTCCATACAAGTCAAAACAAGGAATGAAAATTTTCATTTAACTGGGCCAATTATGACATCAACAGAAACCTGTTTCTAGATTATCAAAAGATTATGTTTCCTTTCACAATTATAACATCAGAATCTCATTCAACAGTTTTCCTTTGTTCTAAAAAACTAATTTTCCTAAATAACTATTACATAACATTTCAATCTTGATTAAACAGTTTGTAATAGTTCATTCCAAGATGAGATAAAATACATTTAATAATACAAGATTGATGATAATTTATTAAAAAATAATGATGAGAGATAAAGATAAAAGTAAATTGAAACTTATACTGATGTTTAGTTAAAGTTGAAATCTCAGGAACTCTATCTATTATTTCATAGAGTGATATACATGCCAAACTATAATCACCAACCGAAAACAAGAATGGTCAAATTAGGTTAAACTGATGTTGAACTTGAAACAATATATTTTCAATGTAAGGTCAAATTACAGGTAAACAGCCATTTTAATTGTTAATGCTAAAACATTTCCATGATTTGGCATCTATGCTTCCTGTTCCTTCATTTTTAGGCAACATTAAAATCTTGCAAAATTTGGTTTAATAAATACAGCCCAAAATTTTCTAAACTTCTTGGTGTAAGTTGAAATTTGAAGACAAAGAAAAAGTCGTATCTTTCAAAGCATGGACCAACATGACGGCTTTGATGATTTTCTCCTGTTACTATTCCAAGGTCATGTGTTTTAGATGCAGTGTCTTGTTGGGTATAGTTCATACTTCTGATGAGGGCTCTTGTTAGCGAATCAGCATAAAGGCAATTGGGATCCTGCTCTGATATATTTTAATTATCTTTTACTTAATAGTTTGAATTTGGGCTCATAAATAATTTATTCCCTTGTAAATTGAGTGACTTGTGAAAAAAATATAGTATAAACAAGTTGAACGTAGTTTACACTCCGATCTCTCTTCCCTTTCACTTTTCGATTTCAATTTGTGTGTGCTGGAATTTCAACATGACAGTGACAAATAGTAACCTTGACAATAAAAGATAGTGCTATCATCCACGCAGAAATTTCTTCCTATTTATTCAGACAGAGGAAATTGACTCTAAAATTTGATAAAACCAAGACAAAATACCATAAAACAAACATTAACCACTCAAATAGTTGATTGAGTGGTTGATGAGGTTAAAAGTTGATTATAAACAAATTCAATTAACCACTCAAGTGGTTATTATTCTTATCCAGGTATTACTATTTAGATTATCTGAGTTGAAATTTTTTCTCTAAAATTTATCCAAATATCATCATCATCTTCGTACAAGAAAATTGAATAAAGAGAAAATGATTTCATCTTTTCCTTTTTCCAGAGGAATTAGATTAATAGTCAATGTCAATACTACAAACCCACCCCCTCCAACAAATTAGCATACTGTAGAATCTAGAACGGTATAAAAAATCCAACTTTTGAGAATTTATTGTCAATTTCAAAGGGAAGAAGCATAAATCCAGATAAATCACAGATAAAATTTCGACCCATGATACAAATAAAAAAAGGGTAACAAAAACTACTTAAAAAGGATTACATACATCATAGCACTGGGTACAAATTCACAATAAAGGAAAAAAGAGAGTGAAAGAAGGTACCAACCACTAAAGGCTATGCCAGAGGAGGCAACAACACATGTCTGGATCACAGTGTTCTCCTGTCTTGTAAAGGGTTGTCTTAACATGCCAGATTTTTCCAAGAACTTGGTCCAAGTTTTCACAAAGAAAAACCCCAGAAGGCCAGCAGAGACATTGAGTGAAGGTATAATACCAGTGGTGAGATTCAGCTTCATCACAATGAAACTGAAGAGTATACTCAGCAAAAAGCTCACAACAAAGGCTCTCAAAGTTAACTGGTTCCTCCATGATGGCACAAGTTGGTGCTGAAACACCCTCTCCACAGAAATCTCCTCTTCTTCTCTGAGCTTGGTTCTCTCTTCATGGTGGAGTTTCTGTTCATCATCTACATAATCAAGAGATTCAAAACCATTGTCCACATTTTCATTAGGGGCCATGTCTCAGTTTTTCTCCTTGGAAGTTGAGATCCCAGAATTGTGGATATGAGTTCGGAATCTCCAAGGATGGTGAAACTTTCTATGTACTAGTGGTGGTTGGGATAAAGCAGGTGTTTGTTTTTCTGTATTACGAGGATGATATTGAAGTTGGAATCTTAAGAAGCATGCTAGTTAAATGAGTGTTAATGGATGGACATTAACACCAACACACCACCTTAGGATAGAGACATATATAGAAAGAGAGAGATATAGACAGAGAGCATGTGAATGTGATAACAAGTTGCTGCCTCGTAAGTCACAGCTTTGCAAGGAGGTCAGAGTATGAAATAGTGGAATTGACCAGCACACTATAGCACTGGGGTCCTTCCATTTGGATGCCATTGGGGTCTGGGGATAGATTTCTACTAGACTGGAAAAAAAAGTTTTTTTTTTTTCTCTCTCTCTTAATTTAAGTAAAATATTAAGAATAAATTAAAAAAATTTATATTATGAATTAGCTTTGTAATTCTTAAATTAGTTTTTTTTTTTACTGGGTTTAAAGTCAAGAGTTAAAAAATCTCAATTAGTCATTTAATGGGAGGATTTTATGTGTATAAGAGATAGGATAACAGAGATTAATATTTTTTATATTATAAGAGATAATTTTATCTTCTATACACATATAAAAGTGTATAAGATCCATGTGGGGTAATGGTGAAGAGAATAGAGAAAAAAAATATGGATCTCATATATTTTTATATATATGTGTAAAAAATAAAATTATCTCTTCTAACATAAGAAAATTGATCCCTAAGATAATTTATAATAAATTTTATGTCAAATATGAATAATTGATCCATATGCATTTGATGACTGCAGTTTATGACTAAGATGGGATGTTTCTAGAATGTAAATTTTACTCTCAATCTCGGTCATTATTTCATTTATATTTAAAATAAATTAAAATTATTATATATAAATTATGTATACAAATTTTTATTCTTAAATCAATATAATTTTATTCTATCCATATATATATATGGGAAAAGCAAATGTTATGTTATATGAAAATTTTGTTTCCTCCTACTCTTAGATCATTTTCATTTTCCGTGCAAGCTTTTTTTTAATTTTTTTTCTTAATATTTGATGGGTCCTACAAAAATTTGTCTCTGTAACATGATGTATCAATTTTCATGTTACATGACATTAACAAAATCCTATATATATATATATATATATATATATATATATATATATGTGTTTTTTTTTTTTTTGTGATATAAGATAAAATTATCTAATATTTTGGGGCCAGGAAATAAATTATCTATGGTAGTTGAAGATGTTTATTATTTTTATTTCAATTAATGTAAATAATTTATGGAATTTATTTTTCTCATTTTGCTCGAAAACATAAACACTTCCTACACACATTATAAAAAGATGCGCAATTCTTTTTTTATTTTTTTAAATAAATGAATCTCACACTTAATGTATTTATAACATGAGATTAAAATTTTCTTACAAGAATTGTTTTCCCCATGATTTATATGGTTAACTTGGGTAAGGCACACTAGACTTTGTGGCCATTCCCATTGGTATTCATTCCCGTGCCGTAGATAAATGCCATGATTGGGACTTTCTTGTTTGGTCTTTTGCTACCTAAGAAATAAGAATAAGATTGTGCCCACAAAGGGGATTCGTTTCTTTTCAAACGGCGTGAGAGTTAAAGTTAACCACTAATGCACTCATTTGTCCGACAAGTTAACGAAGGATGATTCTATTTCATGACAATATATTTGGCTATAAAAGACAGGATTTAGTGCAATAAAAAATAATTATAAAGTTTGATGGTGTTGCTTCCAAAGCTTTGAACTCTGCGAGTGTCATGTGATATACAGCTGGTTATTGATTCTGAAATCTGAATGGTGGTGATATTCGTATTTGATTGTTTTTTTTTTTTTTTTTTTTGGGTAGTATTTTCTTTTATTCTTTGTTCTAAATCTACGATGAATTGTATGAAATTGGAACATAAAAGATTAGTTTGAAACCTCTCTATTTCTGGACTGCTCGGATGGCATTATCCATCTCCTCTAAATGGTTGCTTGGTAAGTAGGGGAGTAACTTGGGGTAGCATGGGCGGCCGTTCTTCCTTAAATATTAATTTTTTTTTGTCATGTTATATATAAAATAATTTTTTGAATAATAATAGACTATTAGTATTAATAGTTAGCCTTTTTTCAAAAATATTTATAATAATTGGTATATTCTATTAGTTTTAATAATATTTATAATTTAAAAATTTTATTTCTGCCTTCGATTATAAAAAATTCTAGGTCCACGATAAGGTTTAAGACATAACATGTGAAGTATGTGGCTTCCGGATACACGTGTCTCTCATATATTTTTCATAGACACATGACATTTTCTATATCGGGGCTACGCTGCCTCATATCATAGTGGGGCCTATATGATTAAAATAGTTATGACATCTCATTCCTTGTATTGAGAGAAAATCTCCTCTATCTTATAAACAGAGAATCTAACCTCAATGAGAGGGAATAGTGACTAGACTGCCACATTTTTGGCAATTTTTTACCAATTTGTCATGTGAATTTTATTTTTTACCAAATTGCCATGTGTCCAAGTTTGCTATGACTGGTAGCGAACTTGGTAGCCAATGATTTTGTGATAGGTGATACACTTTTACATGAAAAGCTGACTGGACTAAGTTCCTACTAGGGGTAGCGAATTTGATGTGCTACGTGGCACAATCTCATTGCCCGATTAAAATTAATGTACCAATCACAATAAAAAAAGAAAACGAAGAAAAATGACTATTTAATTAAAGGAAAAATGTTTATGCAGTTAATGCAGATAAGTTATCTGCATTTATTCCCAAAACGATATCGTTTTGATATTGAAATCTTAAAAAAGAGGTAGGATCCTTTGACACTGGTGTCAAATTTGAAGTTTGACACCTTATCTGAGATGCGTTAAATCAAAAAAGATCAACGACTCTGATTTGTAAGCATGTGACACCATTGATCTTTTTTAATCTAACGCTTTCAGATGAGGTGTCAAATTTTAATCCTGCCTCCTTAAAAAATTATAAATATAAAGACTATTATAACCCTGAAATAAATTAAAATTATAAAATATCATGATTCCTGCCCAAAACAACGTCGTATTAGGCTTACTGCAGATAACTTATCTGCAGTAACTGCAGAAAAAGCGAACCATTTAATTAATGTACTAATCATAATTAATGTATCAATGAGATTAACTTTTGATTGTACCAATCAATTCAGAAGGCCAAAACTTTGGATTCGAATATGCAAATTAGATATTTTTTATTCTATTTCACATAACTTTACGAGATCTACGCAATGACACCTCATTTGACATATTTTATCTCTCACAAACATCATTTGAATTTGTAACAATTGTATCACAAATAATTAATATACCAATCACCAATCACAATTAATGTACCAATTATTAAACACAATTAGTATACCAATCAAAATTAATTGTGATTGGTGATTGATACATTAATTGTGATTGATACATTAATTAAATAGCCTTTTTTTTTGTGATTGATATATTAATTTTGATCGGACAACGAGATTGTGCCACATAGCGCACCAAGTTCGCTACCTTAGTCCAATCAGCTTTTTCTATGAAAACGTGTCATGTGTCAAAAAATCATTGGCTACCAAGTCCGCTACCAGTTGTAGCGAACTTAGACACGTGACAGTCAACTTTTTCTGCAAAAGTGTGCCATATGTCAAAAAATCATTGGCTACCAAATTCGCTACCGATCATAACAAACCGCATAACAATCTGATAAATTTTATCGTTCGACGTGACAATTTGTTATATAAATGCAAAAAATGTGGCACATTAGTCACCGTTGCATTGAAAGATCATCATGCTTCTTCATCATATGAGTTTAGTGCTGAAACTCAGTCTCAGCTATAACTGAACTCTATACACTCCCTTCCACCATCAGCTTACCTGAGGTTAGGACAATAACTCCTTCAAACCTTGGTCCATACCCTTATCTTCTCAGTCATTATCAAATCAACATTCTTTAACCATTCTGGATACAAAACTTGATTTCCGTATTCTATCAAGTTAACTCTCTAAATTGCTAGTTTTTGTTGTTTTGTTCATACTTCACCCTCAACAATGCCGTTCAGGTTTTCTCCATTTCTTTAATTAACAAGCAAAGCTTTCTCTCATTCACCTCAAATTGTAAAAGAAGTTATGTTTTTATTTATTCTTCTTTCATATATGTACTTCGTGTTTTTTATTTATTTTTCTAATCCTCAAAGTTGAGAATAGTAATATAGAAACAGGGCATGGTTCCAGCAACTTCGTCTACATATTAAAAAGTTTTTATGTCACATCGGTATACTGTCATAGTGTCATGCTGGTCTTTTTAGTAAAGTTAAATATTATGGAAAACGACCCTTTTTTTTTTCCTACATACCCTCCTTTCAGGAAAAATATAAAGAAATGATAGGACAATTATTAATGGGTAAAGTATGTGTCATTTCAAAGGATGTAAAGTTATGTCATTTTAAGAGAGAGAAAGAAATAGATAAAGGAGGAGAGAGAGTTGACAAAAAAAATAAAGGCGTGGGTCCCACCTCTTTATGAGAGTGAAAGAATATAAATTGTGTCATTTAAAAGGATAAACATTTTTCCCATTATTAATCCCTATTAGGTAAGATAAGATGCGGTTAATGACATTTGGTCTTCACAATTTTTCTTTTAAATAAGAAAAATAACAATAAAAAATTTGTGGATATGCATATGAGCAGTAAAGGCAAATTAATTACAAATATTGGTTCACATTAATCAATGTTTTTCTTTTTTCTTTTTTATTGTTCATCCATTTTTGGTGCAAAACGATAGATAAATGTGGGTAAGAAATATTAACACATTTAACCTAAATTCACTAAATAACTCAAAATATGATTTGCTTAAATCACTATGAATACTTTGCTTTTATTTATAGGCCATGTCTTGCATTTAAATTCTTCCTTAACACGTTATTTGAATTTAAAGTCTTCCTTCATGCATTTTGTGATTTCCGTCACTCGTGTTGTTGAATCTCACACACAGATTTTTATTTTTATTCAACCACCACAATTTCATCTTTGTTTTTTTATGGAAGCATTTCAATTATAAACTT